CTACTATGGTCCTTCTGACCTCCATCACCATACAATGATCTTTCTGAACCCGGTCTCCTACCAACTACGGTATTTCGGACCTCTTTCTCCTACCGACTACGGTCTTTCTGTCCTACGTCACCTACTACGGTCCTTCCAACCTCCATCACCAAACAACAGTCTTTCTGACCCAGGTCTCCTACCAACTACGATCTTTCGGACCCCTGCCTCCTGCCGACTATAATCCTTCCGACCTATGTCATCTACTACGGTCCTTCCGACCTCCATCACCATACAACAATCTTTTTAACCCTGGTCTCCTGCCAACTACGGACTTTCGGACCCCTATCTCCTACCGACTACGGTCCTTCCGACCTCCGTCACCTAATACGGTCCTTCCGACCTCCACCACTAGACAACAATCTTTCCGACCTCTATCCAATCGACTATGGTCGTGCCAACCAAACAAACATGTCTATATTGTAACTCCCATTATATAATGTGCTCTATATGATGTACATTTGTACCATCAAGCTAAGGCCTTCTCCCAAGGAAGGGCCTCGTTTATAATCGACTGCAAATACTAGTGGATTCATTCAAACTGGGATAGGCCCCGTGGTTTTTCCCCTTTTTTAGGGGTTTCCATGTAAAAACTCTGGTCTCTTATGAACGCTACACTCCCTCTCTTATCTGCTTGTGTACTGGATCTTCATACAAAGCTAAGACGCTAAACTTTATAGTTCTCTACCGCCGCGAATACTCCAGGACGCAACAGGTTCCATTTTTAAACCCCCACCTATTTTGAGATTCAACCATCTAGAAAAAAAATAAGAGAAAGTGCCCATCTAAGAGTCCCGCACTCCAATGGATTTATTTCCATCATTTTTTTTAATTGATACGTTGCTACAATTCAAATTGATGAGGGGCAAATCTCAATATATATTTAAATTAAAATTTTCAAGAATAAATTAAGATAATTCAAATTCTAATTTAAACAAACTTATTGTTGCCTGTATATTTTGATGAGACCAACTCAATGACATCAAAATTGATTAAATTTGAATATGAATGAGCTCAAATCAAACATTTCAAGCACAATAAAATTTTGGCACGTTAATTGAAGAACAAAAAAAAAAGATTCAAATCTTAAATGCTTATATTTAAATAGAGCATCTAAACTACACGAATCAAATGAGCCAAAATCATTTAGTTCTAACACCACCATGGCACTTAAATACTTAAATAATTATCTATGATCGAAAGATTAAATATGGGTCATCCAATTAAGTGTTATGAATTTGACAATATTTAAAGGGTGTGCTTCTCTACAAAAAATCTATAAAGAGGGAGAGTTTAGATCTTGACTTGAGATTTCATAGAGCTAAGAGCTCTAAGAATCCCATATCTCCACTCGAGTGCCATCATCTAACCATCATTATCGGATCATCATTGGGACATTTGCCATTGGATTATTGCTTGACTACCACCAACAAACTACTACCATTTCATTTTTAAATCGCCACTTGATAGTTGCCCTCAAACCACTACTTGACAGCCTCCTCATAACACCACCAACATTGTTAGAATAGTACCCAATTGTAGCCATCAAAAGGTCGTTCAATCACCACTATCATAACATTGCTTAACTACCGCCATTAGTCCACCGTCCGACTACTATTGTCAGTCCACCGACCGACTATCATTGTTAATCTACGATCATTGAAACATCACTCAATCGTTGCCCTCTAACTATTGCCCGATTGTCAACATCAAAATACATCTAGCCTAATCACCATCAACTGATCATCACCATCACACCACCACTCCAACAACATTGTTGGACCACTGTCACTTGATTAATGTCCTTCAACAATTATTGCTCGACTATAATCCTCTGATCTTAATCTGTTGATTATAATCCCATGACAATCATTGAACCAATGTCACATCATTATAGTCCTTCAACCATCGTAACTAAACTACAATCCTCTAACCGCTGACCGATCCACATCATTGGATCATAGATGCCTTACTAGGATTTTTTAACCATCATCCCATGATTATAATGTTCTAACCATCATCTTTCGACTACGATCGATTAACTAATCACCTGAGAATAACCTTTTTAGGGGTTTTCCACGTAAAAACTTTGGTGTCTCTTATGAATGCTACACCCTCTTACTTATCTGTTTGTGTGCTGGATCTTCGTACAATGCTAAGACGTTAAACTAAATATTTCTCTACCGTCGCGAATACTCCAGGACGCAACAAGTGTATGTATCGGTACCAATAAATTTAGTGGCTGTAGAAGTAAAATGATGCAATAACATCAAATCCATATAATGATAATAAATTAATATAATATCAATAAAGCCGTATAGTAATAATGAATTCATAACATTCATTTCGACAGTCACACTAAACAAGTTAGAAATCCTGGCTTATCAATATTTTTCCAGTATCGTATTAGCGTCCATAAACTTTTGGCTCAGTAAATAAATTCGTCACTCTTTGCCCATTGACACAATAATAATTTCTTATAACTCTCAATTGTTGTATCATTGTATTATTAGAGAATAATACCCTACCATAGTATTTAAAAGAAAGCTCATCGGCCCACTATCATGTACAAGTCAGTCAATATACAACCAATAGGTTAACCAGTCATTACTTATCTTATACACATACATATTATTATTATTATATTATAACAGTAATAACAACAAACTATTACACAAGCACATATGCACATTCTTTTCAATGCATTGCAAAAAATAAAAAAATAGTTGGACTTAATTCAGAAGGTGTCAAAATATCCTAACTGTAGAAACAAAAAAATCCTATTCAATAGAAATTCGCATTTTTAAAAATAAAAGAAATTATTAAAAATTTATGCGGTTAAGGTTTTACCAATATAAAATTGTCATCATTTTTGGGTAACGAAAGGATAAATTTGATCCAAAAATCTCAAAAATATCAAATTATTAAAATAAAAAAAAATATATGATAATAGTTCTTTATAATGAAACAAATAAATCTCCCAACAAGATCTACTGACAAACATCACTCTATGACCTCCAAATCCCAAATTTCCATTTATTTCTCTGTTATTTTTTCCACTTGATTTATCCTAACAAGTCTCTGTCTTGGCCAAATGAAAGGAAATGTTAGGGCTGTCAAAATTGGGTCATGGGTTGGGTTCGGGTCCAATCCGAAACTGACCCATCACTGTGCAACCCGACCCGTTTTTGCAAACGGGTCAGTTTTTGGACCCGAACCCGAACTGCTTTGGGTAAGTTGTACTAAAAAAATTTATTTAAAATTAAATCAAATTAAAGTAAGATTTGCTTTGATTAATTTAAAATAAACCAAGCTTAATTCAATTTGGGTAACATGATTTATTATTTTTTTGAAATAACTTTTACTTATTTCATAACAATCTTTTAAAATTCTCCTAAATTAATTAAAAATATGTCAAATTCGGGTTGATTTTGGATTTCAGAGTCAACCTAAACTGGTTTTACAAACGGGATGAAAACCTTAACCCAAAGTCGAATTGGTTTGGGTTCGGGTTGACCCGAACCCGACCCGGGTCTGGTTCAGGTTGATCAAACCCAAAAATTTTGGGTTTTGGGTTGTGTCAAATATTGACACCCCTAGGAAATGACATATATAATTTATTTAAAATTAAAAAAAATAATAGTTTGCAAAACGGACACCTGGTGGTCCCAAAATAATCACTTGTATATACATATATCAATTTTATAAGAATTTACACTAATGACAAAATTATGAAAAAAAAAATTATTGTGATTAAATCACTATAATATATATAATATGGAGAAGACGGTTTATGATTTAGACTTATATTGACTAGTGAAAATTTTTATTTAACTATGTTAAAATATGAGCCATTACACCTCCAACCATAGTTTGATTACGATCTTCTAACCACTATCATTCGATTATAATCCTCTGACCACATTCACACGATTACGACCCTCTTAACTACACGCAACTCTAGTCGTTCAACTACTATCACCCAACTATGATCCTCCGATTTATTTCGTCCGACTATTGTTCTCCAACCGCGATCACCTGACTACGATATTCATATTATCGCTTAAAATACAATCCTCTTACCACCGTAGTCTAAATATGGTCTTTAGATTACCACCATTCAATTATGATTCTCAAACTATTATCTTCTAGCTATATTGATCCTCGTGACTTCATCATCTATTATCAATGAAAATGCAAATGCACACCATCACCCTTAATGATACTATAGTTGTCCAACCGCGATCGCCTGACTACGATATTCATATTATCGCTTAAAATACAATCCTCATACCACCGTAGTCTGAATATGATCTTTAGATTACCATCATTCAATTACGATTCTCAAACTATTATCTTCTAGCTACATTGATGCTCGTGACTTCATCATCTATTATCACCGACAATGCAAATGCACACCATCACCCTCAATGATCGATGCATGTTGTCGACACTAATTCTGACTCTCGATATCAACACTATAATTATGCTGTTTTTTTTTTTTTTTTTGACCTCCCTTTCTCAAAGTAATATGACCAAACAAACACGTAATAATAATGTATGTTGAATGTTTATATGATGCTAAGTCAAACTTTTTGACTCGAGTGACTTGAATGTTCTAACAAGCAACACTAATTTTATTTCAAAATGGAGCATTCTTATAAGTGACTCGTTCTTTTTTTTTTTTCATCTTTTATTTTCTTTAACTATATAAAATAAACGAGCATAATATGCATATAATGTATCACCAGCTTTGAAAATTTATATAAAATGTTATAAACCCATATTTTAAACACAAACACAAGGATTTAATTTCATATTTTTGATATACTTGTTCAATCCAATTCAAATTATTTTTCAAAAAAAAAAAAAAAGAGAAAAAAACAGAGCAAATTTAAAATTATTTTTTTCAGTATAAATGAGTTCGTGATGAGCACCCGCGCTCCGATCGACTAATCGATTACAACGGTCCCTCTCCGACCGAAATCCCCAAAGCTTCTGTCTACGCAGGCAGCGCTCCCATTTCTCTTCCTCGTCTGCAATTTCGCTTAGTGGCCGCAGTCGTTCTGTCGCTGGTAATGGGAGTAGGCGGAAACTTCTGGGATCTCCTCAAACCCTACGCCCGCTTCGAAGGCGTCGATTTTCTACGCAACAAGCGTGTCGCGGTTGATCTCTCCTTCTGGATCGTTCAGCACGATGCCGCCATTCGCAGCAAATATCCCCGCGCTCGTTGTCCGCACCTCCGCATTACCTTTTTCCGAACCCTAGCTCTATTCACTAAGGTTCCTTCCACCTCTCTCTCTTCTCTATTTGTTTTCTCTATAGTGTTTATGTCGAAACAGAAATGATGAACTTTGGTTTCCTTTACTTAGTTGGGAGCATTTCCGGTGTTTGTTGTGGACGGAGAGCCTTCGCCACTCAAGGATCAAGCGAGGATGGAACGTTTCCTTCGGGGTTCGGGCCTGGAGCTTTCGGTTCTCTTGAAGCCGCCGGAGACTGTGGCAGGGCAGGCTGCTCCAGCTGCAAAGCGACGGAACCGTGTGTTCTCTACGTGGGTGCAGCAATGCGTGGTGAGTGGAAGGTTGTTAAAGATGATCCTTTGTTTAAATCTATTGCAATTCGTTTGTGCAAGTAGGTCTTTCAAATATATGATATGGAATAAATAATATAAATATAATGTTATTTTCGGAATATATATATATGCATACATTCTGACTATGATGTATTATAGTAGAATAAATTTAGTATCCGTTACTGTTATTCATTCATTATATTATGTTAAATTAGTTTTGTTTATTATATGTTTTGATTTTGTTGATATCTATTTGTATATGCACTTCCTCAAAAACCGAGCAATAGGAATCAACTCACTTATTTGATGAACATTCAAATAACTTTGAAATATCTTCCCTAACTTCCACTTTCAGGAGTGGGAGAGTGGGAGGTGCTACTTTTTCCTCTTATGAGCAACCAAACAGATCCTAAATGCAAAAGGGCGAGAGAGGGAGTAAAATGTAATAATCTTTCAGTTCTTAATCTTTCTTTCATTATGCGTGATGCCATTTTACCTAAATTTTGTGGATTTATCTCAATTAGGTTCCCTATTGAAGATATTCTCAACATTTATTTTATATCACTGTAGTCTTCCATCATTACAGGTATCATCATAAGTAGGAAAACATTTATTCACTTACATTGAGTTGTTGCACTCACTAGTTCATAGAATTTTCTCAAAGGAACCAGTTGAATGTTTACAGAACTCTACTTATTCTTTCTGAATTGTGAGAATAAATGTCACATTTTTTGAAATGTCATAGCTACTGCTTAGGAAGTGGGAAGATAGAGAAATATGTTTGGAATTTTTGCTGTTCTATATCTTAAATAGAGTTAAATACAATAATTTTTAATCCTTTTTACAAATTACCTTACCTACAAGGTAAAAGCTTCCTCGGTGCCTAGTAGTAACTAGTAATTGTGTGCTTGTTATATTGTTGAAGCAGCTTTCAATCAATTTACTAGAATAGTTAAACATCATTACATGAAGTTTGGGGCAAGATTTCTGTTTCCCCTTCTTCAGTCATAGCTTCCAGTGATATGGTAGTCGGTAGACACACACGATAAGGTAGTTTTTAGTCCATTGCACTTTTGGTTCCCTTCTCTCATCTATTGTTTCTCTTTCTAGCCTGCCAAGGGCTTAAACCTTCATTTTCATCTTATGATTTGAAATTTGATAGCTACAAATGTTTTGATCCTAAGGAAGTTTTACTGCCTCAAATTACTTTATTCCTCTTTCGTGAAAACTTAAAAAATATATTTATAAAATTGTGATTAGACCTATCATATTCTATGGATCTGAGTTTTGGGCGATAATAATGTTCTAGACAATCAAGTTGAGCGGGGTACAAATGGAATGCAAATGATTTATATTAGAGAAATTGTGGCAACAATTCTTATTAAAGACAAGGCAGTGAGAATTTGGCCCAGATGGTTTGAGAATTTGGATTGGAAGGCGGAAAATGCTCCACTAAGATGAGTAGATAAAGTTAATGCGGAAATATTAGGAGGGAAAATGTGTAGAACAAATGTAATATAGATATAAATTGTAAAAAAAAAGGAAATTGTGTAAAATAAAGTTACATCTCTAAAATATTGAAAATGTATAAATAGAAAATAATGATTCATAAAGTTGAAATGATAATGATTATGGAAGTACTTTATATCTCAGTGCTCCTGTTGTGTTATTTTCCTTAAGTAACTAATGTGTACAATTTTATTATTTATCTTGATTATTAAATATTTTATTTGCGATGGCTGCTCTTAACTGGCTAGTGTTGCTAACTAATTTAATTTTAAACACGCTATTGTTTAGCTATTAGAAAACAACAGAGGTTCATAGTGAAATTAAATGAGGATGGAAGTTCAATTGCATTTGGTAACCCCTCGTTTGAGGAAAAAAATATGTCTAAGAACTAGTAGTGTTATGGTTATGGATCCGATTCTGATAATGGTGAATATGTGAGTGTTGCAATGATCTTACCTAGGATCCTTTCCCTAATTTTAGCATAATTCATGAATTTCTTCTAAACGAAATGGCATTTATAGTTTTAATTACCATGAATTTAGCTATAGAAAGAGCATGTTGTGGGTTTCTTCGAGGTACTTTAGACATTAGGGGAAAATGTTTATGCTAGGCAATGATATTATTTATTAAAAGAGAGGTAAGTATAATGATAGTCTATCATCCTTTTCTACCGTTACTTCAATGAAATGAAAATCAAATGGTAAATTACAGACGTTTTCCATAGATTTCCCAATGTATATTTTATCATCCATAAATTTTAGGGAATTGAAGCATCCTTCATTTTATGTTTATGCATCTAGGCCAATTCATATGATCATAATTAAGTTGAAACTTTCTTAAATTATGATGGTATAATTTATAATGAAGAAGTTTAGGTTGTAACGAAATTAATAAGTGTAATTTTGGTATTAACTTGGACTATGCTGGTAGGCTGGTACATAAATTTTACACGTCTATCTGTATAGATGGCATAAGGCCTAGATAAATCATAAAAAATAGAGGGTATCAATGATGTTCAACGTTCAGGTTTAGGAAAGCTGGCATAAATTTTTATCCCCACATAATTTATTCAAAAATCAAGGTTGTTTTTTATAGTTCAGCAACAAGGGCTCAATATAGATGTGACATAATTTACCAGTGTTATATGTACGTGAAACTGAAGACCGTTGCCAATTTTTTTTTGACGTGAAAGCCTAACTGTTATGTCTGCCCAACCTAAAGTGACTGCTTGTTTATTATGTTTGCAAAATATACTCAACATTCTCATTGGAACCTCAATTGCATTTTCATATCAACAACAATGTAATTTTTGACAAGTCATTCTCACCCACAATTTATATTCATAAAAAATGATATATATATATATATTTATTTGGTCTTTGAAGTTTTGGAAAGCATTGAGTAATTTTTTGTTAACATTGCTAGGAATTGCTTGAAATCCTAGGTATGCCTGTTTTGAAAGCTCAATCTGAGGCTGAAGCCCTTTGTGCACAATTGAATTATGAAGGCCATGTTGATGCTTGCATTACTTCGGACAGTGATGCATTTCTCTTTGGGGCAAAGTGTGTTATAAAATGCCTTCGATCTAATTCCAAAGTAAGCAGGTGCTTCTTCTTTCATCTTGTTCTTGATCTTAGATTTGCTTAAATTATTTTAAAGAAATAAATGGCTCTATGTTGCCATGCATTTACTTGAATAAGCCCGACTTTATAATTTTACTGATTTTTCATCTACAGCATGCCTAAGAGGTTCATTAATAAACTTTAGAGCTATGGTTGAACTGTAAGTATACTTGTTTATCCGGATAAGTTCATCCAGTGGTAGATGTGAGAGCTTTCAACAAGGATGCCCCTTCTAATTAAGGTTTAGAATATGCTTGGATGCTGAAAATATGCGGACAATGAAATGGATATCAAAATTGATGAATTTTTTATTTTATGGTTATTGAATTATCAGAAGACAAATTTTGTCTGATTTTCATTTTTTTTTTCCTTTTGTTTTCTCTTGATCCAATCACAGCATTAAGAAACTTCTTAACTGGCAACAATATTTGATTTTTGTTGAACCAGCTAACTTTTAGAACCTTAAGGGACTGCAGTGTCATGTGCTTTTCTAGGATGTATTATTTTATACTTAATGGCAATCAACAAAAGCTTGCGCTGCATTTTGATCCTCTGCAAGCTATGTGTGATTTAATGACAATCAACAAAGGCTGTTCTGCATTTTGTTCATTAACAACCATCATCTTACTTAGATTTTTAGATTATCTTCCCTCGGTTGTGAAAGTTAATCACCCAATGATTTTTCTTGAAATAAAGGATATAATATGCATATTTTTTCCTATCAAGCTATATTATCTAGTTTGAAATGAACCTATTAAACCAGTTGAATGAAGATGAACAGTCTTCTAATAGCTATATGTGGTGATATCATTTTTGAGCCTTTGGGGTAGATACTATTGAACTAACGAATGTCATAAGGGTCACATTCTGTTGATGTTGTTTTTGAGTAGGAATGTTGTTTTTGACACGGATCATTAATTTGATCTAAAACTAATTTTTAATAGAAGCTTAAGTAACGAATGTGGTAGGTAATCAAGTTTAATATAGAAAGATGGCCCAAGAAAACAAGTTGAGTTCAATGATTATTATGTTTCTTTTTATCCTTTTAACATCTTGATTGGGCAATATAATTGTGAGTTTAATACTTTAATTGTTTGTCTACCTTGCCTGTTAAATTTTGATTAATAGGATTAGCAAACACCATGATGTCATTTTTCAAATGTTGTAATATTAGTTCATCATGCTATGAGAAAGATAGGTTCAAACCTACATCTTTTGCTTGATGTGGCAAGGCATAGCCTCAAAAATGAAGAAAACTACTCTGACAAAGCTCTATTGTAATGACAACAAGTATAATGACTTCTGTAGATGCTTTCCATTGGTTAAGCTCAATCGTTTAGTGTGTCATCTAAGTGCTTTATGTGACTTCCTCCTTTATGCTCATTGACGAGACTTACTTCCTTGTCTTGGCTTGGTGATGAAGCTTTCTTTTGATTAAGGCTCTTTGTATCATTATGCTTGACATAGATGTGTGATACACCTTATAAAAGCTCTGTTGTCACTGGTTTTAAGCCGAGCATGTAAAGGGAGGAGCATCATCGTAGATCAATGTATAACCTTCATCCATGATGGCTTGTTACGTGGGGATGGTCCACACAAGTTCAACATTCCTTCTAAATGGTTCAAAGCGCCAGCTTGACTCCACCTTCATCATTACAAAGAATAGGAAAAAGAAATGTTAAAAAAGCTCAGTTACCCTCCATTATTAGTATTTGCTCACTAAAGTATTATGCACCTTTCATAATAATCACAACAAAACGATGAATCAAGAGCAGTTAGCTCAAATCACTATTATTGTTGGGAGTAGTTAGGAAAAAATATTGGTTGCTTGGCCCAATGGTGGTGTGTAATATGTCAAAATAGGAGGCCAAAGATAAGTTAACGTGGTGTGACTTGGTTTTTCCCTGTACTCTTAATAAATGACAACTACATTAAATGATGAATACCACTTGTAAATAAATTCAAAATAAAAGAAAATTAAAATAGAAGGGATCCCATATTATGAACCAACTGCATAATGACACTTTAACAACAAGAATCCATTAATTATTAGTTAAAACGTGCCAATTTATTGATCCCATTTGATGCATAATTACAATGTATCATGAATGTAAGTGTCACAAAAAAAAAAAAAGAATGTAAGTGTCACACGTTGTTGCTCAGGCAAGCCATATCAATGAAAGGACCACCCCATGCTTGACTGACCAATGGGTCCGAAAACTAATGGCTTTCACTTAAGCTATGTGGCCCTGTTGGAAGCCTCCATATGGGTCAATCACAATTCAACATGTTAGGTTGTTTACGTAATATAATCAAACCAATGGTGCACACTTTATCTTTGTTTGTGCAATATGCCACTCTTTGGCACGTCACTTCATTCCACGGGCCTTACATTATTGGACTAGTCTCAGAGTCTTTGTTTGAGAGAACCTAATTGTCACGCGGGGAGTGCCAAAGTCATCACGTGTCCCCCACCGGCCGACCACGCCACTTGAATTGGATATTTGTGTATCAATTTATGTGTCATGAGGATATTTTTATAATTACAAATATATCATGATGAATTATCAAAATTGGAAATATAACATAATCGGTTTGAACTCACTATTAAATACCCAAAGACTCCATGAAATTGCATACATATTTCTGTAAATTCCTATATGTAATACCCTATCATTTCAATGTCATTCATTCATTGTGATATCTCTTTAGATTAATAAGTATCACTTTGCAGGAACCCTTTGAGTGCTATTACTTATCTGATATTGAAGCTGGTCTTGGATTGAAGAGAAAACAGATGGTGGCAATCGCTCTTCTAGTTGGCAATGACCATCATTTGCAAGGAGTACCGGGGTTTGGTGCTGAAACAGCTCTTCGTTTCGTAAAGCTATTTTCAGATGATGATGTTTTGGATAGGTTTGCAAATATATATTAGCTCTATCAATTTTCTAGTAAGATGATATATTCTCATAATTATGACATCTAATACAGGTTATCTGAAGTTGGAAGAGGGATAATTCCTGCATTCCAGGAAGGCATTGAAGCTTCTTTAGAACATGATGCAACTAGTCCATACGAGGGTGTGGCAACTACAAGGTTTCCACACTGTTCACAGTGTGGTCACCCAGGCAGCAAAAGAGCTCATTTGAAGATTGCTTGCGAGTATTGTCTCAACAGTGGTTCAGAAAGCTGCATGATGAAATCAACTGGGTTCAAATGCTATTGTTCTCCCTGCAGAGAGGTTCATAAGTTCAACTGCTTGATTTTTTTCCCTTTTTTTTCATATATCTAGTCTTTTTTTTTTTTAAACTGGAGGATCTAGCTCCATGGTTGTTTTTCACAAGGGCATCGTTTTTATGGTTTTAGTTAATTTAACTTGTGCAAAAGGCTTGTAGGCCCTTGAGGTTTAGTTTATCTTATGTTTCCACAAGTATTGAAGTTTTAATTTTGATTATTTAAGTACCTTAAATATTAAGAAACTCCTATTTGGTGATGACTGCAATCGTCTTAAATCTTGTTGTGGAATTATTGTGGGAGAAATAAAATTTTTAAAAGTTGATGTAGGTATTGTAGACTTCTTTCCTCCAAAAGAAATTGAATGCCAACATTCACCTAGTAATTTAGTTGTGAAAAGCTCCTACTCACTACCAAAATATTTGAAAAGTAATAAAAAAAGTCATATCCAAATAGAATTGTGATAGCGATCTTCAATATTAAATTATGAAGAAGCTATCCCGAATAACTATGAATGTCCCTGGTTGTGAACATTAGAGCAAATTATCCCCTAATCAGGCAAATACTAATTTATAGATGATGTTACCTCCCAAATTTTTCTGAAAATTTCTTAGTGCCACCATACATTAAGAAATGAAAAAGGGATTATGTATTTCACTAAGGTGTAGGTCATGTGGCCTTAACCATAGGCTTCATAACAAACTACCAGAATTCAAATCCGCTAATAGGGAAGAGCTCCTAAGAACATTTAGTAAGTTTAACAGCAGAGACTACTTTGACATACTACCATACAATACACTAGCATTTATTGAGAACCTTAAATGTATTAGTTTAATTGCACCCGCGCAAAGTGCAATTAAACTAATAATTATGATATTAATATTTTAATAATAAATTATTATTTCTTATTTATGACCATATTTCTAATTTTCAAAACTAATTGAGGAATAATTAGTCAACATATGGAATAATTATACTACAAATTTATTATCATATTTAACAAAGAACTTTGAGAATAGATCATATACTTAATTAAAACTATTAAAAAATATTTAAAATTAAATTATGAGATGTTAATATAACATATAAATTAATTCATCAAGATCATCAAATACTCCATGTATGATATTGGATCGTATTATCAAATCTTTCAATAAGAATCGGCTCTTATCCTAAACTTAAAAAAATATTTTCACAAAACATTGGATGTTTCAATAAATTAAATTAATAAAGAAAGAGTTAAGCATTATATTGAAATCTGTTGAAAAACCAAGAATATGAAACTGAATAATTTATTTCCAACATTTAAATATATCGTTTAAATTACTTTTATGATACCTAACTACAAAGAATGAAATTGAGCATAAAGAAGCAATCATAATCATAAATAAATAATTTTAGAAACAATTAAATTGGCCCTGAAAGTGTAAAGCTATGAAAGTATTAAGTACATTTTAAAAACGTTGATATTCAAACATTGATAGCATTAAAATAAAAAACTAATGGTGTAAGGATATTAAAAAAAAAGAACAGTAGATAAAATATTAGTTATGAGTTAAAATAAAATAAAATTCTTTTACGTTGAGCATACCATATTATGATCATGTTAAATGAGTTAAGCCTCCATCATATTAGACACATATCAATAAAGTAGGATGAGATGAATTTGAATTTGACTCATAATTACAAAAACATAACTTGATTTGTATTTTGAAGTTGATGAAGTTTTTAATAAGAAGAAATGAGAGTTATCAAAGACACAACATTAGGCCAATGAGAAATCTTCAATAACAACTCAAGAAAAATCTATAGAGATTTATCAATTCTTTTATTTATTTTTTCATTAAATCATAAATTATTGAAATACAAGAGATAATATTATTGGGGATGGAAGTAAACATCGCAACGAAACAACAAAGAAAAAATAGAAAAGCAGTGAAAAGTAAAATACATCAGGATTTAACGTGGAAAAATTCAAAATCTGTTAGGAAAAAGCTACGTAGCCACACCACACCAAGAAATCCACTATGAATATTGGGAGAAATAAGTACAAATCTCTCTTCTCTTTCACTCTCTCCTTGAAATGTTCTCACTCTCAAAGCACAAGAGAAAGTCAAGTAAATAACACCAAGAAATGCTACCCTTCGGAAAAATTGAGAAAGAAAACTGTCTAGTCCACCTTAAAGCGCTGTGACGCTCAAACCTCTATCATCGGTCCATCTGACGATGCTGTGACACTCAAACCTACAGCGCTGCTGCATCACACAGCGTCAGGGCGCTTGGGTACACAGTGTCAGGGCGCTCGGGTACACAATGTCGGGGCGTTGTACAGAGAAATAATTTCTTTGCAGGGGGAGGGCCCCCGCATTCCTCCAAAGAGCATGACAAATGGAACTTAGATCGGAGGCAACATTACAATCTGATTGATCAACACAATCATATTCCACACAGAACTAACAAATATTTTTATAAATCAGTGCACGAGAAAGTCATCATATAGCTGTAATTTTCTCAATTTGTAACTTGGAAGAAAAGGAGAATTAGAGAACAAGAAGATTCTTCTAAACAACTTGCTTATAAGAAATTACAAAATCATATAAAATTACCATTGATAAATAAATTTAAAAAAATTCTTAAAATTTTCATTACTAATTAGACATTATTACAACTCAAGTATAAGAATTACTCAAGGTGATATATAGAGAGAGAGATTTTAATTCATAACAATTCAAGTTTATTTTGTAAATATAACAATAAAAATGAAATTTATAATAAGTATAATGCATTTACATGATTTATTGTAGATAGATAAAAGTCGACATCAAACTTATTAAATAAAAAGACCCAAACGATGAAATTCAGGTGTTAGTCAAGTTAATGATTTATTTGATAGGCGTAGAATTGGAATTAATGGAGTCTATATGAGAGTAATATCATCTTAAATATAATTTTAGTTAAATTAACACATGATCACAATTTTATCCTTTATAGGGCCATAATGAAGAACACTGACTCATTAAGATTGAACAATATCATTAAGCAGGAGATTACAAATTTGAGTTTTATAAAAAAAAAGTACCATCATTTTATAGAAATAGAAATTAGAAGCTTGAAGGAAGAATGATGAAGTGGGATTGATATAATCAGCTTAAATAGCTATGGAATAGCTTCTTAAATACATCACAATATTCACAAACCAATTATAAAATGAAAGAGCAACAAAATCCATTAGTTATTGATACCAGCAGTGTAGCAATTAATGTATATTAACATTATAGTTACAATATGGCAAATTTAAGAGAAACAACCGTAGTTTAAATCATTTTACAACAACAAATCTAGTAACATGGCTTACGATAAGGAATAACTAATAAACCACCAGAACAACCAGTAAGAAAGTGATAAAAAATAACTTATCTTATAATAAATTAAACATAAATAATCATTATATTCTTGTAGCTAATGTGGTCTGATAATAACAGCCAACAAAATTTTTCATGGAAGATAGCTAATTAATGCCTTCGACTTAGTCAAATTAATGCATGCAATTATTTTTCTTGTAGATATTTAAATAATTAAATGAATTGTCCAAGTGTTTTCTCAAGCATTAAATCATAAGCATTAAAAAGAAGGAAAATTATAGCACAGTTAGCAATGAAAAATGCCTTAATTTAATATTATTACAACAGTAGAATACCATAAAACTCAAAAGAAAAAAAAATGCATCAAATCAAAAAGTAGTATTATTATTTTTTTAATTTTTTCACTTAACCAAATATTAAATCATTCTTGATATCATAATATAACTTCTAAGTATTCGGGGTTTTTGGGGGCGCGGCCTGGAATAATGATTAAGTTGTCTCCGTTGAAATTTTGAGGTCGTAGGTTTGTGGAACTGTTAAGTATTTTGGTTTGAGGTTGAAGGATATACATATATCCTTCAACTCTACGATATTCACCGGATATTGCAGCTGTTTTCTTATAAAAACGTTGTGTTCTTTTGAATTGTTGGGTAATTTCGATTTTGTTCTTAACCAATAGTTATTTCCTCTGGTTTCGCATGATTCAATCACTTACTATTGATTACAGGACCTCTTAGTTAAAGAGCAAAAGAAGCAGGAAAATTGGCAGCTCAAGGCTTGCCAGAAGATTGCTGCAGAACATGGCTTTCCCAACAAAGAAATCATTGAGATGTATTTAAATGCTAGTGGTCGTGATGATGAAGGTAAGCCCCTCCAACACAACTTGGTGCATCATCACTGGAAGCGGTAGGCTGATCCCTATAATTTTTGGAACATAACTTTTTGTTAAATAGGATGACTTTATATTGATGAAGCAGTGCTTTTTTCGTTTCATATGAAATGATATTAAATGACTATTATCTTATTGATAATGTGCTTATTTCTAGTTCAACTAAGTAGCTATCTTGTAAAGAGTAGCAATTCACATAGTTCTAGTGACTCTGGTTTAATCTGCTTGAACAACTCTGACATTGATTGGTTCAGATTTCTGTCTCTGTTGACCAAGGACTGTCATGGAAGGTATGTATTACCATGCTCAAGTATGGAAAGCCTCTTATTTTTAACGTGGATAGCCATTTGGCGTTGAAGAGTTTTTCCTAGTCGGGCATATTGCATCTGAACTAGTCTTATGTTTTCTCTGGGTTTTGCTTGACATGTTTTATAGGGTGGGTTTGTTGAAAGGCTTTAAGCATCCTAATCAATTATGTATATAATATGCGTCTGTGATGTTATATCCAGTGGCGCACAGTAGATGAAAAAATAGCTAATACAATTTGTGAATAAATTTATTTTAAAGAGCATTTTAAGCAAATGGAATTATATATGAACCGGAATCACTTGTGGTTTTCACAATATATGCACGTTTCTGCTAATTTAGCAAGACTAATTGTTAAAATCCCTATTTCATTTTCTCTAGAAGAGGGATCGAAGCTGTTTATTTGATTCCTCTTTTAAACTTCATCTAAGAGCTGGCACAAATGTGTGCGCAGGCAATTCTCCAAAATATTTGATCTCTTCTTGTTTAAAAGCTGGTAGTTGAAAATCCTAAAATTTTGCTTGCATTCATAGTGAGTTATGTAGTCTACATTGTTGGTGTGATTGACATTGATGGGGATAGGGGTGTCAAAATAGGTTTTCAGGTTGGGTTCAGGTGAACCTAATTTGGACCTGTCCGACTGATTAGCAACCCGACCCGTTGACTCGTTTATATTAAAAAAATTTATTTTAATGTGCCTTGAATAGAATTCATGCAAGCAATATTGAATATTATTGAGTTTTGGCTGCAGTCTACAAAATATATTTTATTGTAACTAAGCACATGCCAGAACAATAAATAACATGAGATAAGGTACACGTAAATTTATGGTTTTATAATTGCTCAATAAAAAATGACATAAAATTATACATGACATTCTATTTTATGCAACAAAAATGTGAAAGGCAAATCAATAACTATGCAACTTGAACACATTTAGCACGTCAAAGATGTAGATAACATCAACTATATAATATGAGATGCTGCACACTGCACTAAAATAGAAATACCAAATATATTGGTTTACACGTCACATTCTATGATTCATTGCATTGAAATATGAGGTGCTTCACACTGCACTGAAATATGAGATGCTTGCATGAGATTTACTTGTATTATGACAAGTCATCAATTACATATTGCATTGAAAAAGCATTTAACTAAACAAAAGAGAGCTAAACTTTTATATGATTCATATGATTTGCACTAGAAATGTCATGCTCTCCATATATCGTGATAACTATTTGTAGAAGTGCTTCAAGCTACCAACTTCATATGATTTGCACAAAATTAGGTACACATTAAGATAAATGAGATGTTAGATATCTAATTGAAGTATAGGAACAAAAAATCAAATTGAAAAGTAGATATAATTGGCTACTTCTCTTGACTTCAAGGCTCAAGCTACCAACTGGAACTGGTCAACTTGATAAATCATATAATAAAAAGAGTTGAAGTGAGCAAAGATAATTAGATATCTCATAAATATAATCCCTCAAGCATAACCAATTAAGAAAATTTAAATGCCTACGACCAACAATTAAGAGTTTGCATAAATAATTAAAGCATAAACAATTAAAAATTCTAAAACTAGCCAACAAGTTTATATTCCACAACAATTGCATAGGAAGTTGCTCTCAAACTGCAGTTACTCTACTATTTTGATTGAGCTATCACCATTTTCACTTTCATTTTGATTAACATTTAAGCTCAGGATATTATCGATGACGACTTCATGTTTAGGATCATTTATAACTGAAAAAAAAAATAATAATAAATAGAAGCTTCAAACAACTTTACATGATATATAAATGAAAATGGTATTTCAAGATAATTGACAGGATACTCTGTTCTCCTACAACTAATCCCTTGTACAAACCGATGTTTCGACAATATCATGCTTCAATGCATTTCGATATTGATGTAGAATTCTATTATTATTACTGAAAGAACATTCAGATGTTACTTAATAATAGAGATGCATGACAGCTAAAATTTAGTCGAATTTGAATTAATTAGTTAAATTTGATGAAATTGAATTGCCTCAAGCCAAAATTTGATTTGAAGTTTGATTTCATTTTATATCAAGTCGACTTGATTAAAAAAAATTGAGTCTATCATGTCTATTCAAAATTCTATATGAAATGTAACAGAACTGCTAATCTAGAGGATATCTGAATGAAAGAAGCCAAGCTACAGTATTCTTATTCATGCTAAATTAAAAATAATTATTGCATTTGCCTTCCTCTCGTTTATTTAGCTGTTTTTTTGTCTAAATTATTATTGCTTGCCTCATTTGCAAAATCTTCTGAAATTTCCCTCCCATTTATGGTATCTCATGTTTAGAACATCAAATTATCTCTAGGAAATTGTACCCCGCTGCTCCGGTGGGATAAACCTAGGGTTGAAAATCTGGTCGACTTCTTAGCTTTTCACCAGCACTGGGAGCCATCTTATATAAGGCAACGAATTCTTCCTATGCTGTCGACTATATACTTAAGAGAAATGGCATCAACATCCGAAGTAGGCTTACTTCTACATGATCAATATGAGTTCCATTCCATTGATCGAGTGAAGATTAGATATGGCTGCCCCTATTATCTGGTTAAATGGAAGAAAGCAATTCATAGTTTGGATTATGTTACTCAAAATATTTCTAATGAAGAGTTGGAGTCGGAGCAAACTGAATCTACAATAACTGATGAATTTGTAGACTCCATAGACGGTCCAGATGTTCCAACAATCATTGTTGATGATGGGTGCTGGTATCTGGTAACCGAGGAGAATACTGAGCTCGTACAAGCCGCGTTTCCGAAAGCAGTTGAGAAGTTTTTGCAAGAAAAGGTATGCACTGTTAAAATTGTACCGTTCTAGTAGTTTCCCAGCACAGAATTAACATGTTTTCTAATTTGCAAGCAACTGACTAAACACAAGGGAAGATTTAAGGGGGCATCTGCCTCTTTAAGGCTTCATTTGAGACGGCTTTTTTACTACTTCTTAAAACAGCTTCTTTTAAGAAGCAATAAAAAAGCTGTCCAAACGAAGCCTAAATTTTTAATTGATCTTTATAAATATATAATAGAATTAATTTATGTGCTCCTCTTGCTAAAATTTCTTGCTTTTTTTTTTGGTTGGAGGTGCGTTTATGAGTTAGGACTGGCATTTTTCTTATGAACAAGTTTTAAGTAGGTATTTTTATAGGATGCAGCTGAAAGTTCGTTGGAATTTTGTTATTTTCTGAACTTGGCTTCTTATTCATGAAGAATTTTGCATTGTAGATTATATTGTTGCAAGTGCTGCCTGAAATGATTATTCTTTTTACTTGCTTTCATCATGTAGATTCGGGAAGCAGCACTTTTTTTGTGTCCTCCTTGTTTAAGTTCATGATGCTGATCTAAATCATTGATAGAAAATTTTCCACTCGCTTTAATGCTTATGCTTTTCCATATTTGTTCATTCTTAAACCGAGCATTGATGCAAAATTCCTTTTTCATGAAAGCCTTTCTTGAATCAAAATACCTTTTTTTCTTGAATCCTGGGTGAAGTTATGTAGCCTTTTTTTTTTGTTTATACCAAGAAAACTCGCCAAGTAATTATGTGTTTAAAAAATTGGATATCCAATATTTACGGGTTATTTTATTTGGGATGTTATGAGATTTCAATGTATTTTTTTACTTGCTTTAATTTTTTTCTCAAGAAAGAAAGGGCATGTCATCATAGGCTTTGTTTGAGCTGACTTTTTATTGCTTTAAAGTAGTTTCTTAGTACAAAAATTAAAAACAACTTTTAGTATAAAAAATTTATTTTTTATTAAAAAGCTGTTTTAAGGAACAATAAAAAAGTCGTCCCAGATGAATCCTTAATCTTGTGCCTGAGAAATTACGGCTGTAAAATACTGAAATGCACAAAATTATACTGAAATCTGCAATGATGGAAACAAGCAATAGCCACAAAATTGGGCGGAAATTTATAAACCTATTCTTGTGCTTTGTGTGCTGATTTTTTTCTATCTTTTTTACTCTTGGTGATTGAACTCTCTCTCTATTTTTTACTCTTGCTGTATTTCCTCTATTTAAGTTACAAGGACTTCCCTACTCACTGAGTCCTTCTCGAGCTCTGTAAAATTTTGTACATCATATATTCATCATGGACATGAGTGTGGAGTGTCCTCTGCTATTCGATCTTTGAATTAATACTATAACATTTCAAGGATCTTTTCATTGAAAAATTTGAAAAAGATAAATTCTGTATGTACCCTGTTATATCAGATTTATGTTTTGGGATCAAGGCTAACTCAATTTTCCTGCAAAAATATTGCAGCAGTTGAAGGAAACCAAATCAAGCCCGAGGAAATCCAGCAAATCTAAAGCAGATTCAGAGTCTCCCAAATCCAGTGGGGTTCAGCTCAGCATTACTGAGTTTTATCGTTCGACAAAACCAGTGGCAAGAGCAAGTCAAACGAAGGACAAGCAGAAGAATTTGGAGGTAGAAGACTCCAACAAGAGCAGGAAGAGGCCGCCCAATTTGGATCAGGAAATCCCCAAATCGGTCAGGCGACGGCTATTATTTGACTAAGTACTGTTTTTTTGTTATTGTTCTTCTGTTTTTTTTTTTGGGATCCCATTCTTCTTACAAAGCTGTATCTTTCAATGATCTCAATATCATATCAATTACTTCTGCAGAAGTTGCTTCAAGTTAACGTGTAAATTTTAGCCAGATCTCATGTCTAAATTATTACGGGCCGAGTTAGGTTATGCCGGATTCCAATAAAAATATGACATGTGTTCTTGTACATTGTGTGTACAACTGTACACATTATATATAGAAATTATAAAATTATGTACATAGTATGTATAAATTTATATACATTATGTACACAGTGTATAAGGACACATGTCACATTTTTATTGGAGTCCGGACATAACTTTATGTTTGGACACCGCACATAATAATTTCTCTTAGAATAGGTCTAATTCTAACAATTGAGATTAATTTGTGCCTTAATTTGCTATGGTTATCTATCGCGAAATTGTTTCGAGATCAAGCAAAACTTTTTCAGTTTATTTAACCAAACATTTACACAAGTAAAAAGGTTATTTAAGTGTCAATTTAAACAATAAGGAATGCTTCCAATGTTTTAGGCTTCGTTTGAGATAGCTTTCTTACTACTTCTTGAGACCGTTTTTCAGTACAAAAAATTTTTGAACTAAAATTTTTTTATACTAGAAAACTATTTTAAAAAGTAATAAGAAAGTAATACCAAACGAAGCCTTACTCTACATTAAAGAAAAACAAAGTTTAAGTGAGAAGTTTTATGATCCCAACTAAACTAAAGTACCATACATATTGCTTGAGGAAGTCTCATGCTAAAAGTCTTTTTTTCCAACCATATCATTTGCATAAAAAGGGGATAATAGCTCATGCGCTCACATGAACCCTAATCAAGCCAAAAATGGTCCCCAATTCGCTAATTTTGGCACAAAAGCTCTCCTCAATTTCCAATTAAGCAGTTGCCATTGAGCTCGGCAAAGCTGGCCAGGCTTGCATTTAACAGTGATAGAACCTCAACTGTTCGTTATTATAGCTTTGTACTTGCAGAAGTTTCACAAGTCAAAAAGGTTTGGCCGACTGTTTGAAAATGACTCCAAATTCTTTGGTCATAAACAAGAGGAATATTGTCAGGTTCCTAAAATAAAATTTTATGTTCCTATATTATATATTCTAACACATTAATTGAAGCACTTGAAGTGGAATATAAAGCTTCAACACACATTAATTGAAGGACTAAATGATCTCCAAATATCTTATGTTTATAGTTAAATTGAGTGCATCGACGAGATAAATCCAACAAATACCAAATTATCTAATTGTGAGATCGCTAGGAAATCTAAATGTTGAAAGATTGATCTATAATCTTGAAAATAAATGTGGGATGCTTCATGTAATGTTATGTATAATTGCAGGACACGACACCAAAAAATTGTAAATATGCTCCCACTCTCAACATGAAATCATAGGTTAAAGCTTCAAGAGAGCTTAAAGACTTGAAGAAGCATGAGCTCCAACGTTAACACCTTCGCCAAACCATCTCTTGATTGCTGCCACTTGACCATTGTTGTTAGACCATCACTTGTTCACCACTATAAGACCATCAAATCCCTCCATTGCATTACCTTTCAATTGTCATCATCTGACTGCCATCGTCGGAATACCATCGGACCTCCTCCATCCTCCCACCGCTCGATCGTTGTTATTCGACCATAATAGTTGGTTTGTCGCTGTCTTATTTCCATCTTCAAACCACCGTCATCTAATAGTGATCCTTTGACCACTATTGCACGATCATAGTCATTCAACCACCATTGTCCAACTAAGGACCGTTGAATATCGTCGCCCAATTGTTGCATGCTGACCATTATTGCTCGACAATGATCCTTTGACCACTATCGCTCGAATATATTTCTTTAATCACCATCACACATCAATAGTCTTTTGACTGCCTTGGCCCGACTATGGTCCATCGACTTTGGTCCTCTGAGCACTATCATCATATTATGATCATGTGATCATTGTTGTTGAACAATGGTCCATCGTCATCCGACTATAATCTTCTGGCTATCATTGCTCGATTGTGGTCCTACAATCACCATCGCCGACTATGCCAGAAACAGTATTTATACAAGATTTCTTGGCCTCTAGTTTTTTTTTTCCTCATAGGAGAATGACCAAACACGTAGCAAATAATCTCTTAAACACAACTCCCATATCATATAAGGCTCTTCCACCACCTACCATAAAATGTGTTACATACATTATATATCTATTATATTATATTAACATCTTCTCAATTAATTGACAACATCATCATTTGTAACCGCTGAAAATTACTGCTTGAATCATTTCAATTAAGTTACACCGCATGATGTTGTTCTTATTTTAGGGTTTTCATATAAAGCTCAAGTTTTTTACGACTTTTTTCTTATATATGCGTGTTAAATCTCGGTGCAATACTAAGACATTAAACTTCTCACTCTGCCATCATGAATATTCTGAAATACAACAAAATTAAACATATAATCTAACATCTTATAACATAAAAGATAAATATAATATAGAAAACATAAAGTACAATGTATAATATTAACTATCTTCAGAAGATACAAATGTATATTTATTTATTTATCTTTTCTGTGTAAATCAACACAAATATTAATGTTGAATTCTTCATCTTAGTTCACATTTTCACATAAAATGCCACCCATTGCCGAACTCTTCTTCGAAACTCTTTGCCATGCAATTTATGTGTAGCTAGCTTATATGATAAGAGAGAGAGAGAGAGAGAGAGAGAGAGAGAGAGAGAGAGCAGTTTCTTGCAATAAATAATTAAAGTTTATTTGCTCTAATGCTACTCTGTGTTTTTGGTTAATGAGGACATATAAATTAGTTTTATAATGTAGAGGTGACATAAATTAAATTTTTACCTTAACAAAACAACTTTGACTTTATTTGGTATAGCTTTTTTAATGCATATTTACTTTTAAGATTGCAACAAACTTTTTTTTTTTTTTGCCACAATTTTTTCATTACTTTCAATAAATTTCTATGGTAGGAAGCTATTTTCTGCAATGACTTCCAAAAATATTATTTTTTTTAAAACAGTTTTATAATCACCTTTATAAAAAACTACAACTATTCCAAATAGACTTACATAGAATTAGTTACGCTAATTGAGATTAAGACTTCATTTGGGAAAGCTTTTTCTGCTTTCTAATAAAATATTTCTTGAATTAAAAATTTTCGTACTAAAAAAACCTTTTTAGAAAGCAGTGAAAAAGCTGTCCCGAATAAAACCTAAATATCAACTAATTTGATAGAAAAAGAAAGAGAAGACCTGAATAATCATAGATGATAAGCATACATCCTTTGAGAAACATGGCTATTGCTAATTTTGCATGAGGCTAAAAAGCTATTAGTAAGGAAAGCATTAATACATTCACTTCACTTGCATTGACTAAGCCTTAATTTTTTTACTAAAAAGTTGCTTTCAAAAGCAGCAAAAAAACCGTTCCTAAGAATTTGTCATTACATTTGTTTTCTAAGAATAGATAAAGCTATTGACATATCATATATAACAATTCCATCATAACTGTTAGTTAAAAGGTAATTTCCTTACTCACAAATTACAAAACATGTGTTAATTATCTCATTAGCACATTATAGGATCTATAAATAGATTTTTGAAAATGAGGTTAGAAGAGTAACATACTTTTGGGTTGATAAGGAAAATTTGTCAAAACTTCTAATTGCTTTTGAGTGCTAGAGGTAGTGTTGGTAGTTTTGTAAAGGAAACTTTATTGAATCAAAAGATAATCTAACAAGTTTTCGTCGAGGAAAAACTAAAGTTCGATCGGGATAGTTTTTTTAATTAATTTTGTACTAAAAGATTGTTTCAGAAAGCAGTAAGAAAGTCATCATTTTAGATGATTTTCTTATTGTTTTATAAAGCAATTTTTTAGTACATAAATTTCTTGAAAACAGTAAAAAGTAGTGACCAAAAGCTGTTCCAAATAAAGCCTAAAAGATGCAAAAAAAAAAGTAAAAAAAAAAATTTTATATTAACTTACCAATTTAAAATTTCAATACGAATGCCTTAACAAAAAATTGACACTCAAAGAATAAATACCAAACTTAAAAGCCACTATTGCTAAAGAATCTGCTCAATTAGTAACAAACCACCAATAAATTTGTTATACAAACTCAATGGATAAATTCTATATATTAACAAAAATGTTTATTTACTTTATTTTTCTTAAGAAACTGAATAATAATAAAATAGGAAATTATCAAAATACCCTAAACTTTAAATTTTCTCTCTCAAACATTAAACTGAAAACAACATTCCTTCTCTGAACGGGTTAGACTTTTAAATATAAATAAAATATGAGGATTACATTTAACATTAGATTTTTATTTTTTTACTCATATAACAATTAAAATTTTAAATAACAACAAAAATACAACTTGCCTAAAGTTCCATCAATGTCATATAGCCTGTAACAACCCGAACTCTTAACTATCGAGTTATTGTCTGTTTTGGCCTAATGGCCTCGAATTTTTATCCATTTGGTGTAACTTCTGAGGAGGTTAGTCATCCCAGGATTGCTCCTGCACAAACACGTGTAAGTAGAACTAACCCGAACATCATTCCGCTATTCAATTAAGGAAAGATTGTGCCTTCTAAGTGTAGAATCAAGACTTAGGGCGTGAGATGAGCGTGAGAAAGAGGGAGAGAAGCCGCCAGAAAGAGAGCGTAAAGTCGGATGCGACGTATGAGCAGGGATCGAGAAGGTGATGTTCGGTGACGACCTACCATGGCACGTGACATTCCAACAAGAGAAAGAAGTGGTTGTGTTGGTTGTTTCATCATTCGGTAGCTTTGCTTTCATGGCTGTTGATGTCGAAGAAGTGGATGGTGACATAAAGCTAAGAAATCATTGACACTTTCTTCTCCTATTTTTATTTATTTCACCACAATTATCTCCTTTTTTCTAAGATTAGAAGCTTAAAAGAGGTTGATGTTTAATAACTTGCAAGGAAGATGAAGATTTAATTATTGTTTGAAGAGGAGACCACAATGATCTCCCATTAAGTTGTTGTTGTTGTTGTTCATTTAGATGAGGTAGAAACTCTAACCTTATTTTTTTTCCTCATTAATAATTAGTAATTCATATATTTTCATTGCCTAAAGTTGCATCGATGTCATATATCTAAAAGTATAGGGATTACATTGAGTGATTTGTATATATGAATTTAAGATTTAAAATTTTATTTTCACTTTAGAATAAGATAAATCTTATTTAACATCTTTTTAATTTTTTATTTAAAATTTAATCATCTTGATTTAGCATTCAACTCAAAGTATGTTTCTCACATGAGTTATTATTTGATCTCCAAAGAGTATTTGAGATTATAAGAGATTATATGCGAATATTTTGTTTGTATAAAATTTATATAGTTAAAATCGATTTAAGGTGCTGGTTAGAAGGAATCTTAAAAAGGGTATTAGGGATTTCATAAGGTCTTGATCAATGATATTCAACATAGAAATTAACAATTGAAAGATAGATTGTAGAATTATTCATTTAAAAAATATATTTTATTGATCGTTGTAGTTATTTAATGTTTTAATGTGCAATGTCTTGAATGCATCATTGATTTAAATTCTTATAAAAATAAGGTTTTCTTTTGGATCACCACATGTTGTATTGAGAAGATCAGTGCGTGATCAAAGTGCTGGGCTACTTACGATCTACATTTGGTAGGTGACTCTTTATTGAGTAAGAGATAAATATATCTTTTCTTGTTGGGGATCTAACCCTTGCTACTCATTGCATGTAAAAAATGTATATGTAATATGTGATAATTCATTTATAGCATTGCATGTTGCTATCTTTATCTTAACATGATCTGATAGTTAGCGTTGTCATGTTGATTATTGCACAATTTTATGAATAGTTCACCTACTTTATTCTGATTGCTTTAAATAACTATAGTCTATACAAATCATAAATTTTGTACTGCATACAACTGAGCTTAATTATGTTATAATATTTGTTAAGCACTATTACTAACATACAATATGTATATAATACAATCGTGTGCATTTGATGCACTATTAACCGTATTATATATTGGCTAGTCGGACCAATGAGTCCTTACAATGACGACTTTATAGGAAATAATTGGATTTTCTTCGGATTGGTGCTTACCTTTCCCGGCCAGGTATTGTAGTAAACCAACTATAAATATTTATATATAGATATACATATAAAATAAACAACTAATGAGTCATTAGTTGATGTATATATATCACATGCTTATAAGTGAATGAGTTTGCATTTGAATGCAATGTTTATTAGTTGACAAATAATTCTTTGTGAGTTCTGCTAGCTTTCATAAATGAAGTATGTATATTCAACAATCTCATATCATATGCATTATTTCTACTTATGTTCTTTCCTTTGCACATATTTATGCTCATGCCATGTTGTTTATGTTTTACTTAGTTGGGTTTCACCTACTTAGTTTGTTTCTTGTAAACTCACACCTATTACTTCATGATTTCAGGTTTGCTAGTTTGAGCTGTTTCATTCAGACTTCTAGGTTATTGCATTAGGTTCATCTTTGATATGTATTTAATGTTAAAGTTGTCTAATTGATTTAATTGTATAGTGAAATTTCATTAGATTTGGTGGTTAGTTAGTATAACTTTGGGTTTAGATGCTAGGATATTTTATTGTTGGACACAAATTATTGAAGTCTTATATTCTCACTGCTTTGAAATTATTTTTTAAAATTTTATTTAAATCGCACCGTATCATTTGATTCTTGTGATTTTCTTCTAGGCTCGGTGGTAGGGTATGACATATATGATTCTAGATGTGGCCCCTATAAGTTCAAGTGTTGCCTCCACCATATAGCACTATATATTCTATATAAGGTTCTAGAGGTGGCTCCCATAACATATCACTTTATCATGTATGATACTTAATTCACATCTTCTGACTATTGTATTTCAATGATACCACTGCATAACTGCTCAAATTCTTAATTATCAATGTATTATCTACTTTGGCCTAATGGCCTCACTACCACTACCAAAAAAATCAGATTTTCGCAGCACAAATTTAGGCTTTTCCCGGCAGTTTTACCCGCCGCTAAAATTTTTGTAGCGGTTTTATAACCGTTGGATGTCCACCGTGATTATAATGCGCTGCAAAGACATTCAGCTTAGATTTTAGAACCGGCGGGGTAGAATTGAAACTAGCAGCGGTCTTAATCGCTACATTGTTCCATAATTAAAGCGGACATAACCGCTCCTATAACGATCTACCGCCAAAAAATCCCCAAATTAAAAAAAAAAAATGAATTTTACTTCATTCATCTATGTTTCTATGGATACATACGTACATATACATAATGACATATTCTATAATTCATAATTGACTTCAAAGTAGACTTTATATTTGTGAACAACCTTGTTCTTTGTTCAAACTATAGTAATGCAATTTTATGTAGGGGAATTCACCCTCAACCTTCTCCTTGACTGTCCAGATGACAAAGCTGAATCCTCTATGCCCACCTGCTCGAAAGACGTACAATATAAAGATAAAGCCTTAGCTAAATTACAAACCATTTTGTATCAATTAATAAGTTTGTTTTTTCTTTCATTATGATGGACTTGAATTGTATAGTACTAATGCTTCATAACACACTTTTTAGTACGTACTATCTCTCTCTTTCATTTTTTTGTTTTGAATAAAAGTGATGACAAGCTTGGGAGGGCAGGATATTAACGTTAAACTATTCAAAAATAAAATTATTCAATTGAACATTCACTACCACAAACTAAAGAATATCATGATATATACTACATTACTAAGGAGATATTTGGCATAGATAATATTAATAACAATGTAATATGTTTTTGTCTAAATAATATAATGTTATTTAGGATGACATAATGTAAGAATTTTTAGAGAAAAAATTATTTGGCATTATATATAAATGTTGTTAAAATAATAATAAATATACATGCATGTCTAGTGAATACAATTAGGCGCGATCGAGACATGCATATGATGTAAGACCGTCGTACCTTAAATTCTTTCAACAATCATTCATACAGCATTAATAATTCGTCCATATGCCTTGCAAATAAAAGTGATCGAGGTGCCTAACCGAGCAAGTAGTGGACCCGGTAATGTGAATAAGTGGGCACAAAAATTCCATGACATGAATGTGAATGAGATTGAAAATGAGTGTCACATATCGATCCAAACAGATTTAAGTGTACATCAAACACATGCAACAAGATTTGAATCTATTGCTCTTTTCTGTGAATCTCTTAAACTTTTTTTTTTCAATAAATTTCAATAAATCAATGGGCTCGAACCTTTTAACATATGAAGATGATAAGATAATAAAATAGCTTTCCTCTTTTATATTCTTCCCTATTTTCTATTTGTTTGACAGAAATTATGCATCTTGGAGCATGGCAATGAAGATTGCGCTATCAACTAATTAAGAATAAGTCAGGTTTTCTATGACAAATATATTACAAATTGAGTCATAACTCATAAGGTATAGATTCAAATCTTGCACATGCATTTTCCACAAAAGCCGAAGCTAAAGGCGGAACCTTAGACGTGGAAGCATGGATAGTGAATATGGATGCATAAGTTGAAGGCAAAACCTCAGACGCGAAAGCGGAAGCGCGAACACATAAGTGGAATGCAAAACCGCAGAAGGCAGAACCCAAAACGAAAACTAACCGCGATAGCGGAAGCAAACGTCGACCCGTTGGAGCACACCATGAGAGCTGGGTCACGAGCTTGCATCCACTGCCCCGAGCCGAGTTCGAGCAGCCATTTGAGCTCGAGCTTGACTTAGAGCTCGCGATTTGGCCAACAAGCCAAATTTGAATTAAGCATGACTCGAACTCGACTTGACTCATTTACCCCCTATTTCCATCTTCACCTTCAATTATTGTCATTTTTTTCTTCTTGCTATATATCAAAGAAAGCCGAGGAAAACTTATGTACCTTAATTGGTTCATTTGGTATAGGATGGAGATCGCAAGGATGAAGTGATGGTGTTGACTAAAATTAAAATAAATATATTTTAATTATTATTTAAGATTTTAAATTATTATATTAGTAACTAATACATTTTAAATCTTAATTTTATATAAATATTCATTTTAGGTATTATGCAGCTTAATCCCCCAATTAAAAAAAAAAATCAAACGTGCTATGTTTCGGTACTAGGTATTCGGACCTCATATTTTGACCAAAACATTGCTCACCAAAATATCACCGGTAATGGAACTCGGTGTAATAATTAACGAGTGTACATAAAAATACCAGAATTCTAAATAACAGAAAGCTACCTTTTCCCACGTGGCGGCGGCGATTCGTTTCCGTTTACCGGGCCCTGTTTCCTATTCAAAATAAATTCAACGGTGATCAATGAACCTATAATTTCATAAATCATCCAATCCAATCTCGTTAAATCAAACGGACGGTTCCTGATTTACCGGTCAACATACAATGCGGCGGTGTCTGCACCGACAATCCCAATATGAAATTATAGTAATTAAATATGCAAATTTTACAAATTGTTCTGTTAACTCTCCCGATTGCCAATTTCGCTTCCTGCCATAAAAACCTGAGAAAGCGTGAGAGAAGAGAAAGAGAGAGAGAGAGAGAGAGAGAGAGAGAGAGAGAGACTCTTCCATGGCTTGATTCTTCTTCCTTTTCTATCTTTTTTACTTTCTTGCTTGTTTTCTTCAATAAGGCAAGAGAAGTGAAGAGAGATTGGAGAAACAAAGAACAGATGAAGAAAGAAGAATTACAGGGAAGGTCTCTCTTCGGAATATCTCTTACAGACAGACCCAAATGGCAGCAATTCCTCATTTGCTCCTCTGGTTTCTTCTTCGGCTATCTAGTCAATGGGATCTGCGAAGTAATTAATCAGAATTCTATCCAAAGATTCAATCTTTATTCTTGCTTGATCATAAATTTACAATCTTTATTCCTTTCCCCTGTTTCAGGAATACGTTTACAACCGTTTGCAATTCAGGTAAAACTTTCTTCATCCACCCAACTGTTTATCCAGTCTCTGATCTTCTCTTCTCATCCTGCTTCTGCTCTTGTTTCAGCTATGGCTGGTACTTCACTTTTGTACAGGGATTCGTTTATCTTGGCCTCATATACTTACAGGGATTCAGCTCAAAGCATATGGTGAATCCATGGAAGACTTATATAAAGCTTTCTGCTGTCTTAATGGGTTCTCATGGGCTAACAAAGGGTTCTCTCGCCTTCTTGAACTATCCTGCTCAGCTTATGTTCAAATCAACTAAGGTAATTTCCCTTCAAATTTAATCCCACCGCTATTTACAAGTAAATAATTTTCTTTCCTTAACTATTAAAGAATTTTATAGGTATTGCCTGTAATGGTAATGGGAGCTTTCATTCCCGGACTTCGAAGGAAGTATCCATTACATGAATATATCTCTGCAATTTTTCTTGTTGTGGGATTAATCTTCTTCACGCTTGCTGATGCTCAGACCTCACCAAATTTTAGCTTTATTGGTGTTGTAATGGTTGTCGGAGCTCTAGTAATGGATGCTTTTCTTGGAAATCTGCAAGAAGCAATCTTTACTGTGAATCCCGAAACAACTCAGGTGATTTCAAATATTTTTTTTGTTAAGATTTGTTGATTTGATTTGGTTTAATATGCATATTTCTTCATATAAAAATGTGATTTTTTTTTTCCTTTTTAGATGGAGATGCTTTTCTGCTCCACGGTTGTTGGGCTTCCTATGCTGATTCCTCCCATGATTTTAACCGGGGAGCTTTTCAAGGCCTGGAAGTCATGCTCAGAGGTAATTTATTTATTGCATTCTTGTTTTTCTTTATAATAAAGCTTCGTATGATACGGTTTTCTTACACTTTTAAATTTTTTATACTAAAAAATTACTTTAAAAAATAGTAAAAAAGCTGTCCCAAATGAATCCTAAATCAAGAATTACATATAAGGCAGAATATAATTTCTCCATATTGGTAGTACTGCAAAACATTAAATTGCGCTGTAAATTACATGTTTGACAATTTTATATTGCAGATGACTTTAAAAAATCATGACGTGTTAGAGATGTAAAGCTAAGTAATATATTACCATTAATGTAATTGTCAATTGCTAATATAATTATTAATTTATTCGATATCATGATAGATACAAACGCAAGGTTTGGAGATCAAACAAAGGAGTGGAGAGCATCAACGGTCAAAAGTTTTATATAATAGGTTTTAATATCTTATCAGAACTTTGATGTGAGAAAAAAATTATAAATTTTTATCAGTTAAAGCCTAAGTTTATGGGGAAGTAATTGGAAATTATTAAAAGCTGCAAAATATAAAATAAAATAATTTTTTATTTATGTTAATTAATGCTATTTCCTTGCATAATGGATTTCTCTTCCGGTTCTTAGTGGTTTTGTTAATTATTTATGTCTAAGAGATTCTAATGCCAGCTTTGATGGTCTCTTTCTTTGTGATGGACTGAGCATTTGGTACGAAATGATCAAATGATATCTATATATTTATTTTAATAAGATATTTTTTATTATTTCTTGAATTTTTCAAAGATCAAAATTTATTTTCTGAATACTGCAATTAATTAATATTGAGGAAATGGTTGCTGTATTTTATCGTATTTATTGGATACATGTAAAAAAGAAAAGTTCGCTTTTCTCTGAGTATCACAAAACCAAAGACCCTAATAGTAAGGACTTTTTATTGTGTGCGGACGGAGAGAAACTTCCGGATTTCTCTCTGTCTACAGTAAAAGCACAGTCAAAGCACATTTGCTACAGTAACTATGCTTTTACTGTAGATAGAGAAAAAATCGGATAGTTCTCTCCCATCTGATATCCGCAGATAGCAATCTCTCAATAATAAGAACATGAGCATTAGTTTTACAATTAAATGCTTCTTACAGTGAGAATTTCTACATACAGCATCTGTATGTCTATGCTGTGCTGGTTTTTGAAGCAATGGCGACCTTTGTTGGTCAGATCTCTGTCTTATCTCTCATCGCCATTTTCGGCGCAGCAACAACAGCCATGGTGGGTTAATTCAATCTTCTTCCAAAATTATTCAGAAACTTTTCTGTTGCCAGTTGTGTTTTCTCCTCATTCCATGGTGTTTTACAGGTAACAACTGCAAGAAAAGCAGTAACTCTTCTCCTCTCATATTTGATATTTACAAAGCCAATGACAGAGCAGCACGGCACTGGGCTTCTGCTTATCGCCATGGGCATTGTCTTGAAGCTTTTACCAGAGTATAAGAATAACAGTTACATTTCCCTAAAGCCAAAGCAGCCGTTGGAAGAAGATGAGCTGAAAGAAAAAGAAGAGAAGGCAGCTTTGGTTTGAAATTTAGGAAAAATAGAAGGTGGCTTCTTGGTTTCTGGCTTTGGGATTATCACTTAACTTCTTCAGTGCAAGATTGCATCAAAAAAATTTTTTTTTTATAAAGTTTGTTTTAAATGTTATTTTATAGGGAAATAATGCTTCAAATATCTTCAATGATTGATGTAGTTGTAATTTGCAGTGATGAAATTAATTGACAAGGAATATTTTTTTTTTATTTTAAATTGTATTTGCAAGTGTTGAAATTTAAAACAAGGGATGTGCATATGTTTGGTTTGATGAGTTTGATTAATGACTAATTAACTGAGCTAATTAGTTTTAGTTCTAAAATTCAAAAATAGAGCCAATCAAACTACTTTCAAATCAAAGTGGAAGGAAACTAAAATTTTTTATGAATTAAATGATCCAAGTAAAATTAGTGATAATATTTCGTTATAGCCAATCAAACGGAACACTATTGTGAGCATTAAACTTGATTATAATTATTGGAAAATTGAAAAATACAATACTAAAAAGAAAAAATTATAATAATAAATATCTTGACAAGACAAACCTATCAACGCCAAGAGCAATACGACCAAAGTCTGATTGAGCTTAGATCAATAAATTGAAATATAATTAACCATTTTAATATATTATTTGGAGGACCGAACAATCTTCAAATCTCACATATTTATAGATAAATTGAGCTTCATAATAAGATGAATCCAGTGTTTCTAAGATAAATTAATTTTGATATTATTAAGACGCTTAAATACTATAATAAAATTTGACTTATTTAAGGCTATTTGTCGTAGCAATAATCGATGACGTCAAAACCCCTTATGATCAATCATAACTTGATTAAGTGGGGAAATATGCCATGTGAATCTCAAATCAAATGTGAAAATTAGTCCATCCGTAAACCCTTACTTCCATTTTGTGGTGATGACGGTGACATTGTCGAAAGAGTAGAAGTTCAACTGAGGATTTTGCATATGGTATAGAACTCATTACAAACTTGAAAAAATTCTTATGTTTGGTAGAAACTTTAATAAAGATGGTTGTCAACAAGGTTGCATTGGATGCATATAAAAACATTGTATGAAATAAATTGCTTGGCAACAATCATGGTTTAATTGTTTAATTGTTAATAGTATGATAGTTGTCTTCAAAAGAACATTTGTTAATAGTTTAATTGTTCTACTTTAAGGAGCTATAATTCAATGATGGTGATCTCAGGACATAAGATCGTTAAAGTAGTTGAAGATTGTAGGAGGGTGATGTTGATTGAATGATCGTATAAGGTCGATAGTGGTCAAGAAACTATACTCAAACAATGGTGGTCTGAGGATCATAATGGAACAATGGAGGTCCGAAGATCGTAGTCAGTCTATAGTGGCCAGAGGACCGTAGTAGGTGAACGGTTGTTGGATGATCGTATTTGACTGTCAATAGTTAGAGGACTGTGAATAGACAATAGTGGTTGAAGGATCATAAGAGGGCACCAATGGTTGAAGGATCTTAGTTGGATGATAGTGATTAAATCACCAAAGTCGAACGATGGTGTTTAGAGGACTGTAGTCATACTACAATTATCAGAGGACCAACCAATGCATAACTCCAAGTGGTTGGAGGGTCATTCCAATAACTCCACATGATTCACATCAATTGGCTGGCAGAGCAAATTTCTATAACATAGTTGAATTAAGAAATTTTTACTACAAGGAAAAGTAACAGCCACTACGAAGAGCACTTAAATGAACATGGGAGCATTTTGTTAAGACATGAAAAATATGATATTTAGCATTCACATAAGATACTTAGCATCTCCAGAAGTTCAATCACCAACACATATCTCATCTCAAGATTGAAATGCAAAAGAGATGACTAAAATTTGGCAAAATCATATATTGCAGGAAGCCTTCGTCAAAATACAGTTACTGGACAGGTATTTCTCAGTAGGAATTGCTCAAAACACAGTAGCAGCACAACCAGAAAAGTATTATAGACTTGGGCAATGCAGCAATGGCAAAGCAGTACATCAATACAATTCTTGCATCTGCGATGATCATCAGAAAACAAGCGACGACCTGAGAGACATTGCTTCAGTTAGATGCACACAGGAGGCCCATCGTATAACCGATTCAGATACCATGAGATCAAGCTGCTCGAGCTCGCCCATTCCAATGGTATGGTTCCTCTTGCTGTGACGACCGATGGCCTTAGACGTGCAGGCCAGACCCTTACTGACTTCAGCTTCCTTGCACAGAACAGATTCCAAGAGCTTGAAATTACTGGAGCCTGAAACAAATGGGCAGTGATGAATCAGCTTTCATTTCGTCAATTGGGTAAAATAATACAATAAAAGAAGAAAAGAATTAAGAAAATTACCACTTGATATAATTTCCTTGGTTGTGAAATCGAACAGGCTTTCTTGCTGAATTGGGGGAGGGCTGTAGAATGAGAAGTTCGGCATCAATGAAGCCGAAGGTGAAAAACCTGTGCTGCTAGAGTGGCTACAGCTGTGGAAGGAGAATCCAGTAGTAGGAGAAGAAGCACTAGCATTGCCATGGAAGGGAGAAAAGGATGTTAAACAAGTGGAAGTTGGTGAAGAATGATCTTGTTGGTTTTCCATCTGAACTGGTGGGCTGAAGCTGAAACTCAAGTCTCGGCTTGCTGCCATGATTGGAGCTGAGAAAGAATTCCTCAAGTCTTCTCGCCCAAAAGCTGTCAATTTTCCATGTACATCAACACCTTGCAACTTCTGAGCATAATGGTTTATCCATGAGTGTTCTGGAAATAAAGGAAAACATTTATTAATACCATATGAATTTGAATGCAAGGATATGAGAATTCTAGGAACTTTAAACCCTATTATTTGGATAAATTCCATTTCAGTCACACATTATTGGCTAAATACAGAAATTGTAAGATCACACCATACACGGAACTTAAAAGGATTCAAGAATTTCTCTCTCACACAAACCTTAAGTCATAAAATAAATATCAACGATTTATCAGTATTTAGCAAACTCTCTCCAGAATTTGTAAATCTGAATTTACAGGATTCACTAAATCCTAACTGGTAGCCAAACATCTCCTTAACTTTAAATATAATCGGTAAAACGATGATTTGCGCATACCTAGAACCTGCTTGGCTGTTAATCTCCGAACTGAATCCCTGCAAAGCATTCGAGTCACTAATTCCTTTGCAGAGTCTGACACCTCATTCCATGGATCAGAGGGGAACAGCAGCTCAGCGGATCTCACGGCATTAAAGATTCTTGACTTTGTCTTTCCCCAAAACGGCGGCATCCCGCTCAGAAGAATATAGAGAATAACCCCTGCACTCCAAACATCGGCTGCTTGATTGTAACCCCCAGCCAATACCTCCGGTGCAATATAGAACGGGCTTCCCACAGTCCCATACAAGCTCTGCCCTGCAAAATTCAATAATTTTTCATTCAGAACAAAACATCAAACACATAATCAGCAAACCTCCACTGTTCCATAGCATACCAGGCTTGATATAAGTAGCAAGACCGAAATCAGCGAGCTTTATTGGAGAAGATGGTGACTTGGTGGCGAGAAGAATGTTTTCTGGCTTTAGATCGCGATGAACAATCCCGCTGTCATGGCAGTACATAACGACCTCCATTAGGTCCCGGAAGAGGACAGCCGCCTCTCGCTCGGAAAAGCGGCCGTGTTTCTCGATGCGGTGGAATAGCTCACCACCGGCGCAGAGTTCCATGACCAAATGCACATAGTCCGCTTCCTCGTAGACTGCCTTGAGGTTGACGACGTTGGGGTGGCCGGAGAGCCGCATCATGACCTCAATCTCGAGTTTGACGCTGCGTACGTCGTCTGCAGAAATGAGACGGTCTTTGGCGATGGACTTGCACGCGAGGATCTCGCCGGTGACTAAATCGGTACAAGCGCAAATCACACCGAACTGACCCCACCCCAGCTGTTCACCGAGAACGTAGCGATCGCCAAGGTATGAGATGCGCGATGTTTCGAGGATTGGGGTAGAGAGCCCCGGGACTTTGTAGCAGTTGCAGCGAAGGTTGGCGCCGCCGTTGGCCATGGAAACACTGGCAAAACTTCGATACCAGATCAAGAAACAGCCGCCACAAAATTATGAAAAAAAAGTGTCTATTTGGTACGGTCCCCAGAGAAAAAAAGTTCAAATTTTGTAAGCCCTAGTTGTCGAAGCAAGGCAATGCGATTCGAAATCCCAATAAAACGTCAAGAGAACAGTAATCGCCTCAATCCGCAACGAGATTGCAACCTTTCTGGGTGTGAAGCAGAGAAAGGTTGCCTCTGCTGCGGAAAAGCTATCAAGAAAACTAAAGAATTGCTGGGCGGAGAAGCAGATGAAGTTGCCTTGGGACAGGAGAAGCGAATCGAGATAGGGAGAGAGAGATAGAGTATAAAAAGCTGTATTTGATTTCGTTCTCGAGAAGGTAAAGCGCCGCGGCCTTCCGAGAGGCCGGCAGCGTGGCTGTGGGGGCGGGGGTCAGCGCCCTTGCCGTTTTTTTTTCGGTGCTCCAAGAAATGGAAATGGAAATGGTAGAAACCTTCGACGTGAAGAAGTAGGTCGTTTTTGGAGGTCAAATGTTGGAGTGGTGCGACTGCATATGGAGTGAGCTTTTTAAGTTTGAACTGGAGATGATAGGCATGCGGAGCGGACGTGAAGGCAGGGTTTAAGTGAAATAAATAAGAGAGATTTACATGCATACCACTTCATAATACTCTATTTACATATTTAACATCTAAACTTTAATATTACATACATATCATCATTAGTTCATTTTCATGTCAAATATGAGCGGTAGAAATGAAATATATAAGTGCTAGGAAGAAAATATGAGTGACATATTTGATATTAAAATAATATAAAGTGATATATGTGTAATATTAAAGTTTTGAATGTTAGATATGTACATAGGATGGTATAAAGAAAATGCTGAGGATAATTGAAAGGATCCAAATGGGGAATCTGGATGATCACTTGATCTGGTGTGCGGAAACTGAAAAATTATTATATTTGAAAAAAATATAGTTATTTTGTATATGACAGATTATTACGTGTGAAATTTAAATACAGAGAATTATTTGATTTTATAATTATGAATTATTCATAGTCATAAAATTGAATGGTCCTCTACGTTCAGACTCCGCACGTAATAATCTCTGACGAAAAAAGGGATGGAATTACGACGGAGTTTGCTATATTTTATTTTAATGAATTTTTTTGGATTATAGAAAAAAAAAAAAAAAGAGTAGCATCAGAGCCGGCTAGCTACTAGTTGGTGTTTGTGATATTGAATTTATATTTAAAAAATTGATAATGAGATGTTGCAGTTTAATATTTTTATATTTAAAAAATAATTTTAAATTCTTATAATTATATTTGATCAATTCAAAGTTATAATTAAAAATATGTCAATGCTAAACTAACGAAAGGGATATTTTATGGTGATTTACGTTATTTTTTACTAAATTTTTTTTTTAAAAGCATGAAAAAAAGTAGGCTTTCTTCTTGCTTTTTAAAATAGTTTTTTAGTACAAAAATATTTTGCATTTGAAATTTTTTATGTAGAAAACCATTTTAAAAAGCAGTACAAAAGCTATCTCAAGGCTTCGTTTGAGACAGTTTTCTGACTAATTATTAAAGCAATTTTTTATGACAAAATTCATCCAAAAAAAAAAACCTTAGTGCTGAGATGAGCAAATTTAACTTGATTAAACGAGACTAAGAAGTGTATAGGATTGCAGATTTTATTTAAGAATGGCATGATGTTTAATTAAATTAGGAATAAGAATAAAATATCTAATAAAATTTAAAAAGAAGCAAATTAGTCAAACAAAATTGTACATTATATTGAATGCACCAAACTGTTTGGCGTATTTATGATGCGACAAACTGTTTGGCGCATTGCTACAAATGCTACAAACTATTTAACGCATTGTTACAATATTTTTAAAATTTAATCCGATTGACTAGGCTGAATGCACCAAATCATTTATCGCATTCTTTAGAATGCATTATTCTATTTGGCTAGTTTGCTTCTTTTTAATTATTTTTAGACACATAATCCTATTGCTAATTTATTTAAATTACACATTATGCTCCTATTTATGATATTCTGAAAGATTGCTTTGATTGTGTGGGTCATCGAGGAAAGACAGGGAGCTGTTGGATGGCTTAGAGGGGCTCTCAAGTTCAAGGTGCAGAAAAATGTCATCAATTTTGATATGTATAATATGTTAATACATGTCTATGTTTTATAATTTAATGACATAAGTATCTCATATTTGGATCTCAACATTTTATTAATGTTGTTTGCAAATATATAATTTTTTTCATGATGTTTGAATCACACAAATAATTTCTTTGTCCCATTACATGGGGTTGATTACGTAAATTTTTTTTTCTTAATTGCATCATATTAAGAGTCAGATTCTCATTTAAATTATAATAAAGAAATGTCATTTCTAATATTTTCTAACCAAATATTTTTAGGTTTACCTCTACCTTTATTAACATAGGTCAAATCTAATACATATACTCTCCTAACATGGTCATTAGAAGGCCGCCATTTTACATGACCAAATCATATAAGGTGACTCTCTTTAATCTTATATGTTATTGGAGCTACTCAAACCTTTTCACGGATATTTTCATTTTGTATCCAGTCTCTAAGAATAAATCCACTCATCCACCTGAGCATATCCTCATCTCAACAATACATGGAAAACCCTAAAAAGGGGGAAACCTATGGGGTCTTGTCTAGTTGAAATGGTTCTACTAGTATTTGGGGTTCATTACACGTTATGTCCTTCCTCGGGGGAAGACATTGTCATAATGTGACAAGCACAATATATAGTTAGAGTTGAAAGAATCCTATGACATGAGAGTTGTTCTAAGGAAAGTGTTGGCCTGCTTGTTTGGCCAGTATGATCGTAGTCGAGCGACAACGGTCAGAGGGATCGTATTTGGAGGTTTGAGGTATCATAGCTAGCAGGGTGATTGTGTTCGGAGTGGATCATAGTCGACGAGTGACAAAGGTCAAAGGGAGCTTAGTCAGTAAGCAACAAAGGTCGGAGTGGATCTTATTCAGCGAGCTATGGTGGTCAGAGGGATCATAGTAGGCTGACGACGATTGTTGGAAGGACCGTATTCGACGAGTCACATCGGTGAGAAAGATTGTAGTTGATCTGCGATGGTGGTCAAACGGATCGTAGTCGGCTGGTGACGTTTGTCAGAATGATCGTAGTTGGCAGATGATTGAGGTCAAAAGAACTGTTGTTGGATGATGTCAACTCATCCCTTAAATCAATATAAGGGAGAAGACAATATGCTAAAGAGATTTCAAGACTTTCAAATATTGGTCCCCTTGATCTTGATTGAATAACAGAGAATATTCCAATAATGTTTAACGATGGCTGGAGATTAAGAATTCATCAGTTGTTGGGTAGATGTTTGGAAATGTTTGATTGTTGGGAAAAGATCCAACAAAAACCAATGAATAGCTAGAAGTCCGACGACGAACGTTGGTCGGAGTCTAGCGACAATCAGTGGTCAAGAAAATATCTGACTGGTGGTGCAAGCTTGTGAAAGCAATAGAGATCCTTTTGTTTTTTTTGTTTTTTTTTTCTCTTCCTCCTTTGGAAAAAATGAGGGGTCTATTTGTATTTTTTTAAGGTGCCATGATTAGTAAATATGGAGAAGATCAAAAACACGTTGTGAGTGTTTCAATGAACAGCCTATATCAATCCTCTAGTTCATAGATCGTTCATTGAGCATTTGAGTGTCTTAATTATATCAAAATTCAACTATCTTGGGCTTGTTGGATTCGTCTGGTCGTGCCGCTCGATTTGACTATAAGCATGTCACATTTGCATATCATTTGGTTATCTAATTGAACTTATGAAGCTTTCAAATAGGCTTCGGGCCCTCGATTTGGACCAATTTGGGTTTAGATTATACCGATTATGGTGTCGTTAGGTTCATCTCCTTGAGATATTCAATTTGAATATAAGCTTGCTGAAATCAAAGTTGGGATAGCTCCAGATTTAATTCTGAAAGTTTCTAATTCAAACTTATTACAGGATTCATACTTTGATCAATATAATTTCTTTTATTATATTTCAATAATATAAAATTTTCTATAGAATATGAATTTAAATATTCACGGATGATATTTGAAAAAAAAACTCAATTTCTTCATTAAAATTTTATTACATAATTATAAAAATACATAATAATCTGTAATAATGTTATTATAATAATATAATTAATTATAGATTTTATTTGAAGTCCACCAAAAAAAAGGAAACATGCAAAACCGGAAACATTTTTCCACATTCAATATGGAATGTGAAAAAATATTTTCTTTTTTTTTTTAACCGTAAATTTAATTCACTCATTCTAAAATACGTGAATTTGTTTTACGCACCCGCTCCTTTTTAAATTAATCCTAAACACTAATTCTCCAGCTAAAATAAAATCTAAATATGCTCCTTTTTATAATTTCGTCAAAGATGAGTTCTAAATTATTGTTAACATTTTTTTATTAAATTGAAGTTGTAATTTTACTTTATTTAGCCCTAACTAAATACATGCAAGTCACTAATGATTTAAATACAACAATTTAATCATTATTATTATAATAATAATTAAAATTTTAACTACCTATTTGTACAATAAGATCATATTATTTTCTCTAATAACATACATAATTTTTAAAGTATATATGATATGACCAAATTAATATAAAATAAAAAATAAATAATCAATAATCAACAAAGGTTTCCTTTCTGACGGCTTTGTTATTGCTTCATAAAGAAACATTTTAGTATAAAAATTTTAATTTTAATACTAAAAAGTTATTTTAAGAAACAATAAAATAGTTGTCGCAAATAAATCTTAAATATTATTAAATAATCATTTTGTTAAACTCTCAGTGATCTAAACTTTAAACAACAAATCTACATATTTATGAACATAAATAAACGAATTCTTTAATAAATCAAGCTTAAAGAAACTGATGAAATTTATTCAATTATTTAAAAAAAAAAGAAAATAAATAAATCTGATGTGAATGCACTAATTCACCTATGGTCCTAAGCACAACGAAGAACATCTGGAAATACCAGTCATAAATCAAAAGCATTGCATTTTCAAGCCATGCAGCAGTGTTTTCTTTACAAGGTCTGCAGTTTATTCAAGCCAACGAAGAAAATTCACCAAAATGAGGAAATCTGGATTGCAGCATGCCATATGTTCTCATAAATAAAAGAAGGAAAGAGCAGAAATTAGGCACTATGCTTCACTCACAAAGCTCTCATACATGATAGGATAGGACCAGTCTAGAGATTATTGTGTGCGGACACCGGACGGAGAGAACCATCCAATTTTTCTCTCTATGTATAGTAAAAGACAGTCAAAGCACAATTACTGTAGACAGAGAGAAAACCGGACAGTTCTCTCCATCCGATATCCACACACAATAAAAAGTCCAGAAGAACAGAGACTACAGGTTGAACATGACTTTGATCGCATTGCCGCCTCGAGCGCTGACTTCAAATGCTTCTTCAACCTCCTTCTGAGAGAACCCGAACCGATGCGTGATCAAAGGTTTCACATCAATCTTCCCTGATCTCAGGAACTCAATACAGAGGGGCCAAGTGTCCTTGTAGCGAAACAAACTAACAATGTCAACTTCTCTGTTACAATGTCATGAATGTTAGTAAAGATGTTATCATCACATCTATGTTACAAGATGAAGAAGGTGTTATGAAAAAATTTCACCTGGCTGATGCAGAAGTGAGAGGAAGAGTCATCTGATCGTGGCCCATACCAATAAGACAAACTTTGCCACCAAGACGAGTAGAATTTAGAGCAGTCGACATTGTTTTGCTGAAGCCAACACAATCGAAGGCCGTATCAATGTCAGATCCCATAACTTTCTGTATTTGATGGACCTCATCATCCAAATCCTATTCATGTTGTTTTCGTATGATTAGCTAAGTATGAAGGAAGTTGAGGAATCAATCCTCAGGTAACAAGAAAGGTAAGAATTGCAACTTTTCACATAGAAAGATGTTCTGCAGGTTGTTTGTTGCATCACAATCAAAGATAGCTGGTAACGTGGTATCACGATAACAAGCAGAAACCCAAGCGATGTTGAGGATTGTTAGAACTTTATTGAAACAGGGTGGGTGATAAGGCAGTGGCTCACAGGGCAAATTATTTTGTGCGGACATCGAAAGCCGTTTAGAGTATCATAAAAATGCGCCATATCACCCCTATTCGGTACCGCAGCTCGATACTATTGGGAAATTTCTATAAGTGGGCCTATATATTTATACATATAAATAAAGTTTTATATATTAGAAGCTATCTAAAATTAAGCCAATTAAATTCATGATCTATTTAAGTATTAAATTATTATTTGGCATATGTAACATCTCAGTTAAATTTGTATGAAATTAATTTGTGTAGAGGTCGGGTATTTATTTTATTTTAATGATGGACTGAAATAAAATATTTACAATTAAAGTATATAAGGGTTGTGGTCCCCAGTTTAAACGGTAAAGTCCTCATTTTCCTCATTTTTCATCTTGTTTGAAAAGGTGTCTCTCGCTCTCTTGGAGAACGCCGGTTCAAACGTGGAAGACCGAAAACTTCAATTCGGCATTTCAATAGATTTAGGTACGCTTCCGAAAATTTTTCTCGATGATTTGACATGTCTTTCGGAGACAATCGATTTTTTTTTTTTTTTTCTCCATTAAATCTTAACAGGTACTGCTCGATACCGAGCTCGGGACTACTTGGTACAGGATGACGTGGCTGCACCTGATTCGCCTATGAACGACAAGCTGTGTCCGGTGTCCGCACAGAATAATCTATCGGCTCACAGAGTACAGTTCCCCATTTTTATGGACATGGAAAGAAAACTTGAAGCAATAAAAGAGGAGAGAAAAAACTCTCTTTCTTGGAATTGAAAGAGAAATACATTTGCCGAGAGCCTAAGTTGAAGAAATCACTATTTTTACAAGAAGTCAGACAAGATTAAGAATGACATATAACAACATAGTGATCTTCAAATCTATCAGGAACTAACACAGTGGGTTAATTGAAGATGCAGTACAGTTCAAGAATAAAATTTTCTAATGCAATTAATACGAGCATAATATAAATTCATGCAAAAAAAACTTAAGAATTCATATATCACAAACAAACTAATTCAACAACTTGCATTCTTGAAATGTAAGGTGTCAATAGTATAATTTTAACCCAAAAGATGATGAAATGATCAAAATAATCTCATAAATGCAGCAATAATTTATGGCCATATAAAATTAGTGAGCAATTGTAATTTAGTTTATACCAATTGACTTTTTGATGTACTAAATTTGAATAAAATCAATAGTACCAATTTAGTTAACATCAAATCATGTAGATGAAAAAAGAACAACGAATACAAATACAAACATAAAAAAATAAAGTCTCATGATGGTACAACGAGATGACTTCCTCAGGACTTCAACAACACCTGATATAATCACACATCTAATTTGTGCTCGTAAATAGTAGCAAATAGTAGCACAGATAACAACAGAGGTATAACAACAATCTGTTGATTGCTTTCTTTTAAGCTTTTAAAGACAAACACCCTATCAGAAGCTACAGTAGTGCTTATAGCATAATCAATCTGAAGCGCAATTGATTATGAGAAGGAAATGGTCAGCAAAGAGAAAAGACTTCGGTGAGTGCCAAGGAGGAAGGTTTTCTCGTAGTAATTGTTAGTTACTAGCAGGATCTGTTCAAACAAATCAGGAAACTAATATATACTCAGATGATAAGTTTTGCTCTAAGTTGCATATAAAGAAATTTCATAAATAAGTTAGTTTGCTTGTGATTCTGATAGGAAGTACTTGAGTTCACAAGTAACCTCAAGGATAATACTTGAGTTCGTAAGCAAACCTAGCAAGATTTGGTGAAAAAAAAGAAGATAACTGCTGTTTACAGCAGTCAAACAACAAATTACAGCAGTTTTTCTTAGGAAAACAGAGTAAACTGAGAAAAACAATGGGGAAATTCCCTAATAGATGCAAGAAAATAGCAAACGATACAAGTTTCTTCAATTCAAGAGGAAGAAACAGCTCTCCAAATCTCTAGCCAAGCCTAGAGCCCAATAACACAAACCCTAGATCTCAAATTCCTTCCAAATTCAAGATGAAACCCTAATTCTATCATTAGCCCCTAATTAAAGCAAAAGGAGACATACAAAATTCCTAAACAGCCCTCTAATTCAAATTTCTATCATAAACACCCATTACAATAATTGTTTGGGCCCACTAGGCCATCCGCCCCCCTCTCCCTTGGTTCCGCCCTCCCCCTAGGCCAGTGGAATTAAACTTGAACCGGTCCAGGTTGGATCAGTTCAGCCGGCCTAACGGATTCTAACCCAATCATCTTGTAAAACCAACTAAAGGAACAAGGCCACGTATATCAACCAAATTAAGAAAAGAATTCAAACCTGAATGTTTGTGGAAACCTTAACAAAGTCATCCGCACCAAGAGATTTTGCGACCGAAAGGCGGTATTCGTCAACATCAACTATAATAATTCTGGGGGCTCCGAAGGCACGAGCAGCAAGCATTGTGACTAATCCTATAGGTCCAGCTCCCATGATGAGCACATTAGTCTCTGGGCCAACATTAGCTCTCCTGCAAGCATGTACCCCAACACTAAGGGGCTCACACATGGCTCCTTCTTCCAAGCTCACATCTTCAGGAAGTTTAAAACACAGATCAGCAGGATGCACCACCTGAAAATAAGATGATAGAACTAGGTTCAAAGTTTTAAAATACCTATCAAACTTCAAACTAAGAAAAAGGTATATAACTTGAATTTTTTGAATGGAAAATAAAAAAAAATTAATTTTGAGTCCAGAGCAGCTTTTAAGTGGGAATGAGTTTCAATTATATCAACAAGCTTTATATAACTAACAATTGAACAAATGATAAAATATACTCAGACAATTAATATTAAAATTAAAGACAAGATATATAAGAGAACAATTTATGCACTTGATTCAAACTATATAAGATATACATATTTATAGATGGTAAATAATGACAATTACTAGTCCTAAAATTAAATAAGAATTAGAATAGACATAATGGGAGACGAATAAAGAAGACAAGAATTGAATGATCATTTTTGCTAGAGAATAATTTTTTATCAGTTATTGAACCAAATCAATCAATATCGAAGATTTTTATGGTCATTTATGTTTTCTATCTGAAAAATAGACCTTTTTTAGGAGTCCTTTTTAGGTACTTTAATATCCTATAGATTGCATCAAGGTGTTCTTTAATGGGAGTATTCATAAATCAGCTAACCATTTTGACAGAGTAATAAATGTCTGGATAAGTATGGGAGAGAGAAATAATTTTTTCAATCAAACATGGATACCTTTTTTGTAACTTGGAGAATGTCACCATTTGATCTTATGTATTGATATTTACATCTCATCATCCAATTTTATATTTTGAGATTTAATATCTATTTCTATTGAGAAATATAGAGATATATATATATATAACTTTCTTTGATCTTGCGATGTTCATATCCAAGAAATATTTTAGAACTCTTAAATCGTTAATTTCAAGTTAATTGGCTAAGATCCTTCCTTTTTAGACTCTTGATTTCCTCATCATTATTGCAAGTTAAGATAATATGATCAACATAGACAATCAGGATAGTAGTTTGACCAAAGGGTGATTTCTTTGTAAATTGGATGATGAGTGAGTGATGTATTTAGTGAGAACCTTTCATGACTGTTGTTGCGGCAATAAATGATTGGTTCATGGTTGGAAGCGGCATTAGATTGGAAGCTTTTGTCAGAGGCCATTATATATTTAATTGTAGTTATGATTAAGAGAAAAAATTTAATTAGGTTAATAAGATTTAATTGAAAGCGAGGGGAGAGCTACTCAAGATCGAAAAGTCTTTTGCAAGGCATTTCATGAGAATATAATGATTGAGATGTGAATGAATTCGAGGTGAGCTGAACTTCAGGTGAGCTCCATAAATGTTTAGCAATTTGGATTCAATACAAGTTCAACGATTTAGGCTCAAGAAGTGTTTGGTGATCTGGATCTGCAGAGAGTTTGGCGAGGTGAAAGTTCGCTCAATGTGAAGCTCACAAGTGAGTTTGGCGAGTTGAGAAGAGTTTGGCAGGGAGAGCTCTTGGCGAATTTGAAAGCGGATGAACTTTTGAAAGCTCTTGACTCTTGAGACAAGCTCTTGAAAGATCGAGGTGAGCTTGACGAGACTCATACAAACCCTTGCAATAAATGAACAAGGGACAATATGAATCACTCCTAATAGCATATTAAAATTTGAGATAAGAAAATGAGAAAGAATTTGTTCAATTAATTCAAATTGTAGAAGTTGTACAATTTTATTGGTGATAAACAATGCCAATTATTAGCTAAAAATTAAGGAATAATTATTACATAATTATTGGGAGAGAAATAAGTAAGATGAGAATTGACAGATTGCTATAGTGGACAATTATCTTGCGGTTGCTTTAATCAAAGCACACATATTACTTGCTAATCATTTGGCGTGGGCCACAATGTTGCTTTTATAGAATTTCCACAATAATAAAAGTTCTAAATGCTAATTTAAGGTTTTAGGATTCATGATAACCAAGATAAAAAACCTGTAAATTACTAGTAGACCTACCATTGAGTTCAGTATAAATTTGCCCATCATATAAAGATAAATGCTGCACCGAATATATTGACAGATGGAAGCAATCAAACTGCTAGAATTTTGCCAAAACAATATTAAGTACTTTGTTAACAAAGTTTTATAGCGTGGAAGGAATTATAATTTTGAATAGTTAGCGATAAATTGCAAAGTATGTGGCTCAAATCACAATATTGATCTTGGAAAAGCGACTTTCTCCTTCAAATACTAAACCATAGAACATTTCCAGTGGTCCTTACCTTTTCCACAATGTCTTCTCTCAGATAAAGCATTCAAAAAAGCAAGATTTTTAACAAACTATTAATTCTTCCATATGAAAATAAGCTTCTGTTGATCGCCAAACAGATAAGACAGACAGCAGAACTTAAGAACTGAATAGAATAATATACTGTCATTAAAGATTTACCTGATTAGCAAGAGAACCATGAACAGGTGGGGTGGCAAAGAATTTCATGTCAACACATAGGTTGTACCGCCCGCCCTTACAATGCCTGCAACGTCCGCAACTGATCCCAGGTTCTAAAGCCACTCGGTCACCCACAACAAGAGACTTCACTTCACTTCCTACCTCTTCAATAACCCCAGCACACTCATGTCCAATCACCATGGGTTCTTTGACAATAAAATGAGCACACCTCATTGCCTATCATTTAATTGTAAAATTTGTAACCAAAGAAATCTGATTAGGTTCAGTCATCTCAAAGATGAGAATGATGCAGTAGAAAACATTTCCATTCAATACAAAAAAAGTTTCAACCTTTAAATAATGGACATCACTGCCACAAATTCCAACAGCCTTCATTCGAACCCGAACCTGATGAGGGCCTGACCAAAGTTGAACCATTTTATGAGACAGTTAAAGAAAAAAAGTTGGTCTTTGTTATCCTATAGCGACCATGTGTCCATGTGTAAAAATAAAAATAAAAGTGGCCTTACAATCACCAAAAAGGTTGTTTAGCAACAAATATGATTTAGGCTTCATTTGTGAGGGCTTTCTTACCGCTTCTTAAAACAACTTTTTAGTATAAAATTTTTAATTTGTGTACTAGAAAGATGCTTTAAGAAACAATAAGAAAGCCGTCCCAAACAATGCCTTAATGTCTACTTGGGGTGGTTGTTGTTATTTGTAAAGGTAAATATATAACTATTGCGATAAAATCATTTTTAGCGAACTAAATACAGATTTTGTTTTTTTGCTTTGGAAAAAATAGCCTTAGCTTTCTTATAGTTGTATACTTTTTAGCGAACTTCTTACCACAAAATATTTTCAAAAGCAAAAAAAAGTTATTGCCAAACATGAATGTGGCTGCAATTTGAAAAGCAAAGCAATGAAAAATCTTCAATAAACAAACCTTTAGTAAGACTTCGTTTGGGACAAATTTCTTACTATTTTCTAAAACAGTTTTCTAATACAAAAATTTTGAGAACAACAATTTTTTTTGCTAAAAAATTTATTTATAAAGCAATAAGAAAGCTGTCTCAAATGAAGCTTAATTTTGTAAATTCAAATTTAGTAAATGTTGGAAGGTCAATTCTTAAAACTATTTGGCAAGATAAACATTAATTCTATTTAATTTCTTAAAAAAATGGTTGGTGTGCATTTTCATATTTAAGATTTTAATGAAGGACAAGGAGAGATGTAATGAAGGAAACCGGTGAAAATCACTTACTTCGCCTAGGATTTACTAAATTCGGAATGTAGCCTAAAACGAAACTTTTTTTAAAAAATTGTGAATTTATCTGACTTAAAAATTTGTTTGTTAGATTTAGCCAAAGTCCTAGATAATTCTAGACTAAATTTTGCAAACAAATAGCTCTAAATTAGATAAATAAAGAACAATAGGCCATAATGCATCAAAAAGAGAGATTTTTCAATTAAGAACAGAGATCTTTTTAGGACTAATTATTCTATGCAGACATCTGAGAACTGTCCGGATTAGCTACGCTTTTACGGTCCTTTTGTTGTATTTTTGTAAAAGGGCAGTTAAAGAGCAACAAATATTTAATATTTACTAAATAATTGAATATTTGTTACGCTTTCGCTGTATTTTTGCAAAAGGGCAACAAAAGTACAGTAAAAACGCATTCATAATTGAATATTTGCTGCCCTTTTACTATCATTTTGCAGAAGCTCAGCAAAATGACAGCAAATCCGAATGGTTCTCTCCGTCCGGTGTTTGCACAAAATAATTTCTCCTTTTTTAGGTCAACAAAAATAACCTGCCCCCAATTCAAAAACCAAAGTATCAAGAACTTTAAGTGCATAAAATCTTCTTTTTCTTTTTCTTTTTCATGAGATTCATTTGACTATGATGCTGCTCCTTTTAATCATAAGAGAACTATCCATGAGAAAAAGTTGGCCTCTAGCAATTATCTGTTAATCATGACCAAAAAAAGACATCCAAAATCTAAAAATCCATGACCCAAATCATAATCAATACTAGCCTCACAATTAACATAAATAAATAAATAAATAAAACAACAAAACTGATCGCTTGACAATCCAACACATTTAAAGGCATGGGGATTATCAATTTGTTTATCAAATAAACCATATCCAGAAGAGAAAAAAGAGGAGGACAAGAGAACACATACCGACTGATGGGAGCTTGAAAGGTTGAATCTTTAGAGTGTTAATGCCAACCAGCCATGCTGCCATGTTCTCCTCTCCTCCATCTCCGCCTTTTCCCATCTTCCCCCACTCGTTAGCTCTCTGCACTGAACTAAACCTCTCTCACTTGCTCGCTCTCTGCAGAAACCTCTAAACTTCTCTGTCGCAAGATGGAATAGGGATGGGCCGACGATTGTATTTACTCACTGTCTTCTCCTCTGTCCTATCACACCTATCCAGTTTGGACGTGGATAAAAGTATAAGAAAAAAACTGATAAACTCAGACAGAGAGATGGAGATCTTATCCACATCGATATGGGTATTGGGAAGAAAGAATCGGGGCCGATCACTGGCCGAACTAAAAGTCCATTGGTTACGGAAATTATGCGCTTAATTAATCCGTTTAGCGAGCACCATTTTTCTCAAAATATATTTTTTAATTATAAAAACTTCATTTTTTTAATGAGAATATATATATTTTTTTTAATACACATTTATATTTGATCATCGTTAATTATTGGAAGAAAAATTTACTCTCACACGTATAAGAAAAACTTATATGTGCTAATTATTCGTCAATCATCACATAATAGATTTAAGAGCTATTTGGTTTGTTGAAAAGTAGGTGAATAATATTCCAAATGTAATGATTTTAAGAATTTGTGTTTGATTTGAAAAAAAATCTACTATGGATGAAATTTTGGAACTCACTATTTATTTTAGGGGTGTCAATATTAGACATGACCAGAAAATCACACACAAATCTTACCCGAAAATTTCGAGTTATGGTCAACTCGGATCAGAAACGGGTCAGATTTGGGTTCAACAAATCGATCCGTTTGAAAAAATTGGGTCGGATTCGAGTTGACTCAGAAACCCGAAATTGACCCATTTTTCCCGTGTTTTCCTCGAAAACTAGTTTTTGACCCGAAAATCCGAGCTTAACTAGGTTTTTACTTGAAAATTTGAGATTGACCCAATTTTTTACCTGAAAACTACCTTTTTTTGTCAGCCATATGTCATTCGAGTAGTGTTAGGTTGGCCCGGGCCTGAAACGGGTCAGATTCAAGTTGACCTGAATAGTACCGTGTCAATTCATGATTTGACCCGAATCCGACCTGTGACTCGAAATGGACACCCCTAATTTTTTATGCATTTTAATTTACCTAAAATTCTATCGAATTCTAAATACAATGCAAGTTGGCTCCACTCTCAACATTATTGATAGCATGTCATTGTCATCCACTGCATGCCATCGCCTGTCATAGGTACTAACCACTGTCTATTATCATCGTTGCTTATCACTCACTCCAACTTCCATCAGCCACCGTTGTCATTAGGCTTTATAATACATTCCCTTTACTTCAAATAAAAAAAATATTTACCTATATTTATTTACACTAATTCAAATATTTCAAATATATTATATTAATTTTATAATATATTTTATTTTATAATGTATTTATTTTAAAGCAAAATAAAAATCTCCTTAATAAATCTATGATCAATATATTATTTTAAGCAATTGTCTTATACATTATATATGATATAATGTGATTACATCACAATAAAAGTATATTGATTTTTTAAAAAATTGAGATATCAATACAAGATTTGAAATTACAATTGTGCCATAATAATATGAAATAATCATTAATATATCATTAGAAGCAAGCTAAAGTCCCTCTAAAATTAAACTAGTATTTCTATTGTTTTAAATAAATAGTTTAATTTGGCCTTTTTTTCCAAGCCATGTAGACAACTGGTTAATAAAATATGCGTCAATAATTTTCCCGCTTCAATTTGTGGCTGGCCCATTATCTGTCTGACCGTTTTTTCTTGATGAGGCCCATAAGTCTTTATGTCTGACCGTTTTTTCCTGATGAGGCCCATAAGTCTTTATCTATAATGGGCCCCCAAAGCCGGCCTAATTTGTCCCCCCGATTTTATTATTTTATTGGAATAAATGAGAGCCTTGACAATAAATAAAAAAAAAATGAAAAATCATAATATTTATAATTTTTAATAAATTTAAAATAGCCTATAAAAGGTGAGATTTTTTTTTTTTAAAAAACTGTTTCTTAAAAATCTAAAAAATAAAAACTATTAGTTTTAGCTCAATTGAATTTCGATATCATTCATTACGATAGAAGAAAGTTCTTAATATAATATGCTTTATATAAATTGTGAAATATGAGTTTTAAAGGTCGAAGAATGAGACTAGAGGTATTATAAGTGATTACAATAACATAAACATTTTTCTTATAGAATTACAATAAAGAATACTAATAATCAAGATAGCAGACATTGACCTTAGTAGAGATGACGAGCATCAATGTTGGTGTTGAAGATGAATGTCCGTCTTGTTGTTTATGATGAATATATTGGCATCAACATTAACAATGGTACTTAACTAGTTGGTGATAATAATAGTTTGTACTTACGTTAATAGAGGAATGGCTAGCAATTGTCAATAAGACGCCGTATTTTGAGTGTTGCACTCAATTATGAAGTGTAGGTGATGATGTCGGACATCAGAATTAATATTGATGATAGATATAAAAAAATATTATAAAATACAAAAAAGATAAAATAGAAATAAAAGCATTATAAATGATTAATTATTCTATGCGGATGCAGAATGTTGTTCAGAGACCAACTAGAATGCACCGCGTCACTCCTGTCCTCGATACTGCTCGGTGTACCGCTCGGTACTATTCAGTACTACGATTCGATACTACCGACACGAAGCATTCCGATTAATTTCAGGATAACATTCTTCATCGAGTCTTTGCACTTAATAATTTCTCCTCACATAGATAGACAAATCAATTGGAGCTCATTGAATTCTTTTTTATGACGAATATCTTAATTTTCTGAGCCACATAATATTTAATTAAGAAGAATATGCTTTTGGGGAGTCGAAAATTTGGCTCCATGCGATCTGTCATCAGCTTTCCACGAGATTCATCCCCCGCTCTGTGAAGTGGTCAAAAAATTCGCCGCCAAATCAGTACGTCGCCGAAACTATCACGGCAACGCTCTGGCCAGATTTCTTGCCGCCTCCCTCTCTTTATCCTTTCTTTGTCACTCTCAGAAGAGTTTGCTATAGGTGGTTTGGCTGGTGAAGATATTTGAAGGATGACCGCAGCGCTTCTGAGGTTAGGCCATCTCCAAGCTAGTGATTTGCTCGAGATTCGTACGGCCAGTATCTTCATTATCTCCCGTGCTTTCGTTCTAAGAATCGAAATCTTGTGCGGAAGAAGCGACAATCTCGGGAAGGATTTCTGATACAAATTGTGGAGGATTTTCATATCGGATTTCTGAAGGCTTGTTTTTTCTCCCCGGTGCTATTCTAAGCGGGCTTGGATTGAAGGAGTCTACGAGTTTATACCGGGTAAACTGAAAGTGCAATTTTTTTGTCTTTTGTTGGAAGCTGAAAGGGCAATGCTCTGTGGTTATTTTTATTATTGCTTGTTAGAATGAATCGTTTGCAGCAAAGTTCTTGTTTTGTCTGGATGGTGAAATGGCCATTTGTTGATAAAAGGGAAGATCATAATGACTTGAAGTAATTTTTACCGAAACAGTCTCTTGATCTGATCATATGAGATGAACTGTGAATTTGATACAAAATCATGCCTTTAGGGCTGGTTGTGGAAGGGATTACTCACCTTTAGATATCCTTGGGCTGTTTTTTCTTAAGTTTAGATCTGCCTTTTTCTATTAGCATATTATAAGAATTAGAGGAGAACACTTGCATTAGCATTGCGATTTATGTTTTCTTTTTTCATGATCTCATTATTTTACTCACCTTTATTTTGTATTCATTCTTGGAATATGCACCCTGGAGTTTGGTATCTACTTCAATTATCTGCCTTATTTATGTCACAGAGAGTTATTCACAATCCGACTTGTGATTTATAGGTTGAATTAGAATCACTTGCTAAAAACTTTTCATGTCATCCAGGAAAAAATGCAATACTTAATATACAAGAGCCATGCTCAATTGATTTTATTTGTGGAATTTTGTTCGTTAATTAAAAAAATTTTAAAACCCCTTGCTTCCTAAAATAGCATCTATTTCTGGTCCATGGAAGCAAACCTTTTGTGTTTCGGTATGTTGTTTTGGCGGGAGCTACTTAACCACTTACTAATATAATCATAGTAGTCCAAGAAACTCTAGAGATTTTTTTCTAAACATGGTAACATATTTGAAGTGACATTTGCAAGAAAGATGGAAATTGTCGGAGATTGATGTTAAGTTAGCAAGACCATATTTTTTCTGATGCTTTTTCTAGTTTTGTGTTTCTTTAGATGAGTGTAATTTTTTTCCAATTAAGTTTTATTTACAACAACACTCCTCTGTTCTCTATTCACATCATTGTATGAGCTTTCAAGCCCTTGTGGAGTCTTGACTTCACTCTCTTTATCTCACATTGTCACACGATAATTATCTTTTTTTTTTTTCTGTTTAGCATTGCTAGTTTTTGTATGACCTTTATCTTAAATATATTAATTCATTGAAGAAATGCAAAATATAGTATAACAAGAATTTTTAAGATGAAATTATTTTATTGTGTGTCAGTATTGTGAATATCTGTGAGTGATTTATCTAATGAAAGATAGTTCTTTAAGAACATTTCTTCTTCTAATGCAAACAAGTGATGCACTTTTTTCAATGACTACTGATTTTTCAGTATTTGGGCTTTCAACTTTGTTCACTGGTGCACCTAGAAAATTATATGTTTTAAAAACTCTGAAAAATCAAGATTTTTATTTATTATTAGATTTTCTATTTTAGATCATGTGAAACTTCTGAAAAGAAAGCTCTAACGTGGCCAACACCAGATTCCCATTAGCCCTCTATGTGCTCTTATTAAATCAGCCACATGATGTTGTCCATCTTAACAATTCATTATTTTTCGTTCTTCCTTATTTGGCTATCTAAAATAAGAAATAATTAATTATAGGTTAATTAATTCCTTGTTCTTTGAACTTGTAAATTGCATAGCCTAATGCCCATAGATATGTACCTCTTCTATTGTTTGATTAGAGCAATAAAATTCAAAATTCTCTTCTCTTTATTTTTTTATTTATTTTTTTTATTTATTTTTCCACATGTTATCAAAAAGAAGTTTGATTTATGTTTGCTCACCTTAAGGATTTTAGTGCTCGCTTAAATCCTCATCAAACGCATGGTGAACTTGCCATTTCCTCATGTAGGTCTATGTCTCTCCTGATCTCACGCAGTGCATCTTGGCCCATGCACAAAACATCGTGCGTTCTCATGTAAAGCATCATCCTACCCTATGTAGAGCCTCGCCCGACCTTGCTTAGAGGATAGATCCTTGTCTGAGCCTCATGATTTTCGTACATGAGTTTCACATGCATGTTCGAAACTCGAAGCGTTGGATCCTTTCAATCCCGCAAGGAGCCTGCTTCAATTTCTCAAATCAACCTCATGAGCCAACTTCTTGCCATATCTTTGGTTCTTTTCTATAAACCGTGATTATGGTTAAACATGGAATAGCTTTCAAAAACACTTCTCATTTGACGGCACGTCCAGTCATGATTCAATCATTCATGTTTGCATCGGTAGTCATGTAAGCTTATCCTCAAATCTACCACTTATAGGATACAAATTGAATTTGAAAACTACCTCCAATTGGCCCAATTGGTTATGATATTCATAAGCCAAAAAATGCAACGATGACTTTTCTCAATGGTGCGGCCATTTCTCCTAAAAGAAAATATAAAATTCTTAATATTGCGATATGAAAATAGCATGATTTTGCATTGGTTCATTAATATAATGGAAAATAAAATTGTTCCAAATTCCATGTTTATGCTATGGTAAAAGAAATTTGGGATTCAAACAATTTAATTTACTCGGATAATGAAAATGTTGTCAGGTTACACAATCAAAGGAGCCTTTTATGATCTATGTCACGTAGTGATCTATTCATTACTTAATATTACAATACTCTTAATATATATTGGCAGCAACTGGATGTCTTTAAATGACTAGATTAGGGGTGACTTGGAGATGAAATGAAGTATCAAAAAATTAGTGAAAAAGGCATGACAGTCAAATTTATTCTTGAACTGAATAAAAATCTTGATGAAGTCTGGGGAAAAATATTTGGAACAAAAATCCTCCCATCCATTCAAGAAGTGTTTTCTAAAGTCTGGAAAGAGTAAAGCCAAAAGAAAATTTTGATGATAAAGTAAGTCACCCCAACCACTCAAAAAAAACTTCACACATGCCTATCAAGGTATATTTATACATCCAACAAAAATTTTTCAAAAAGAAAAAAAGCCTTGGTGCATTAACTATAAAAAATATGAAACCATAAAAAAACATGTTGAAAATTATATGGCAAACCCGCTAATTGGAAACTAGGAAAGCAAGATTGTGGCTTCTCAACTGTCAATGGTGAATCTCTAAAGTCACCTACCTCTATACTTTCATCATTCAATCAAGAGCTAATAGAAATGATGTGAAACAAAATAGGAATTGCTTTAGAAATTTATAAAAACTTGATTAAAGTGCTGAAAAAATAAATTAATGTTTCACCAGATGGGATTTTAGGAAATTTAAGAATGTCAATATTGTTATGTAGGGGTGTCAATTCGGGTCAACGGGTCGGGCTCGGGTCGAACCCGGAACTGACCCGGCACTGTTCGGGTCAACCCGAACCCGACCCGTTTTTAAAAACGGGTCAGGTTTTCGGACCCGAACCCGACCCGATTCGGGTCCGGGTCAACCCGACCCGACACGAATGACCCGGAATTGACCCAAATTTGCAAGTTTTCGGGTCAAAAATCGGGTTAATCTTCGTTTTTCGGGTCAAAATCGGGTAAAAAACGGGTCAAACTCGGATTTTCGGGTCAAATATGAGTTTTTGTGTCACTTTCGGGTCAATTTCGTGTTTCCGTGTCAACCCGAACCCGACCCGTTTCGGGTTTGGGTTGACCCGAACCCGGATTTTTCCGGGTCGGGTTCGGGTCGTGTTTCGTGTCGTGTCAAAAATTGACACCCCTATTGTTATGGCAATTAGTTACACAGTAGAATAACACACGGGTGGATGTCCGATGATTTGCCAATGTCCGGAGGGTAGATGTTCTTCGATAGAAGGTGCCAAGGTGAATAGGATGCGATCGACGAGGCGTCGATGTTGTCGTCAACTTCTAGATTGAGGTTGAAGAAAGGGGATTGTAGAATATCCACTAAGCCTTGGTGGTCGTAGACGAATCCGTGGTCATGTCATGCTCGGGATCGGCCATGCACTTGTAAGAAGGTTGGGGAGGGATGGTTGTCTTCTTCTTCTCTTGGACTATAACTCATGAGAGAGGAAATCCAAAGAGAGAAAAATAAGGGAGAGAGATGGTCGGTCAAGGGAGGGGAGGGGCTTGCTTTATGAAGTTAGGGTTAGGGTTTGGAGTATGGAAAAACAACTAAAAATTTGAGATTAATTTTAGATTTAGTTTAATTAGGAAAGGGGAATTGAAATTTAAATTTTGAATTTCAAATTCTAGTCATATGGTAATTGAAGTAGAGAGATAGGAGAGAGGGCTAGGGGGGCCGGCGGCATGCATGAGGAATGAAGGGGATTGGGAGGGAATTAAAATCTTCCTAATTCATTATCCTAATTTAGGAATAAGATAATGATATCTAATCTAATTTAAAATTAAATTAGACTTAAATGTAGGAACTCTCCTAATTTAGCTTTCGTTAATTTAGGAAAATATTTGAAATTCAAATTTGAATTTCAAATTGAATTAAATCTTTCCCAAATTATTTAGGATAATTTAGGTAGGTAGTAATGATGATTGAAATCATCATCAAGAGGTAAAGGAGGGTGTGGCCGGCGTTTAGGATGGGCGGTAGGGAAGGGAGGCTGGTGGTTGTGGGGGCTTGGTCGACGGCTATGAAAGGGAGAGGGGCTATGGGGGTCGGCGGGTAGGAGGAGGGAAGGTTGGGGCTTGGGCCGATGGCTAGGTGGAGGAGGTGGGGCTTGAGACCGGCATCTAGGCGGGGAAGGGGTGGTCGGCGGCTTGAAGAAAGGGGAATGGGACGAGCCACGAGCCCGGACACTTCCTGCGGCTGGTGGGTGTTGCTTTTGCCCTCACCTTATTACTTCACCACTCAAGAACTCACAAGCTCCAAAGAAGAAAACTAGATTTTTTTTTCATTAATCTGTCATTGATCCTAAAACAAGACTAAGGACCTCATATCCAGGCCTCAAAGAGAAAAGAGAAAAGAGAAAAGAGAAAAAAAAAGACTGAAATGCCCTCAGGGCTAGAACTCAAAATAATAAACAAGCAAGGGTGCAATCGTCAAACTAAAAATAAAATTAACTAATGCATGAAATATATAAAAAATAAAGACTCCTA